ATTCCTTCTGTTAGGTGTTATCGTTTCTTTATTATTATCGTTTCTTTAAGCATTCAAGTATGTTTTATCAGTGTGATTGTGTTATATGCGAACTAGCCACAAACAAAGCCATTCGAAATAGAATACCTCCAATGAATAATAAACAGCCAAAAATATAAAAATAATACAATTATTAATATAAATGTTATAGATAATAAACTTTACAAAAGATTAATAAATAAAAACTAATAATATAATGAAAGTGACAGTACATTTGGAGAACATCATTTGGAGACATAAACTTTCGTGAAACACTAGCGTCTATAATGCGACCTCCTCTACCGCATCAAACCTTATGTCCTGCTATTCTCCTCCTTATCATTGGTTTTGACCCTGTTTATTGGTTGTAAAGGTTTAATGTTACTTATCCTTCTCTAAAGATTTTATCCACTTTTATGCGACGGTAGGTAGGACGAAATAGAATACCTCCAATAAATAATAAAAAACAAATAATATATAAATAATACAAATATTAATACAATTGTTATAGATATTAAACTTAACAAAATATCAATAAATACGTATGAATAAACTAACATGTACAAACACAATTTTCAGTCCTCCGTCGGGTTGTTCCTTTCTAAATGTATAGTTCCTATAGGGGACCCTTCCTTCTTCCTGGCGTTATCAGCCCTTGGGATATTCATTCTCTCCGGTGTTATCAGCCCTTGGGATATTCCTTCTCTTCGGTGTTATCAGCCCTTGGGATATTCCTTCTTTCAGGTGTTATCAGCCCTTGGGATATTCCTTCTCTTCGGTGTTATCAGCCCTTGGGATATTCCTTCTCTTCGGTGTTATCAGCCCTTGGGATATTCCTTCTCTTCGGTGTTATCAGCCCTTGGGATATTCCTTCTCTCAGGTGTTATCAGCCCTTGGGATATTCCTTCTATCAGGTGTTATCAGCCCTTGGGATATTCCTTCTCTTTGGTGTTATCAGCCCTTGGGATACTCCTTCGAATTGGCGTTCTCAGCCCCTGGTATTTTCCTTCTTTACTGTTAAAAAGTGATTATATGACAAACTTTTGTTCTTTTGGCCAATGGATAGTTCCTATATGCTTAAATATCCAAAGGGCAAAAATTGATGTAATGGAGAAAAAAAAATCCTTTGTCATCATCCCTTGGGATATTCCTTCTATTAGGCGCCATCATCATTCTGTATGGCGTTCGTATTTTATTTTATAAATTCCTATTTATGTTGTCCAGTTGTTGTCCATAAGATTTTGGTGTTTTAAAATATTCTTTTTACGTTCCTAAAAAAAAATATGGGTACAACGCACTGAAAATGCCAAGTTGTTAACAAACAACCATGTCAGAATTGAAAAAGTTTTTTTGTATTCGTTAAGACTCCGAGTTTGAACTGGGAAAAGAAACCTATTGCTTGTCAGATCATTGTCAATTGATAACTGAAAAGGATCATTTAATAAGTTATCGGTTGTAGTAGTAAATGCTGTCAAACGTTATTAGAGGACCTAGCACTGTTAAGTTATCCCGCATACCGGTACCAAGTCCAGTCCTAAGGTTATTAGTAAAACGCCACCACATGCAGTACCGATCTAGTGGTATATATGGCACTAGTTATTGGTCCCACCTCACTTGACTACCATTCGGTCCCTCTTTTGGCGGCAATCCGTCACCGTGAGTAGTACCAGATTCCAGGTATCTACGTCACCGTGTATTGGTGCCTTCGCACGGTAGTACATTTCAGTCCCTATATTAATTTTGTAATATTTGAATTATAATTAATTATACCGATTGTTAATAATAACTATTCATTAGACATTACAATTTTATACATTCATATTAATGTTATTCAAGTTTTTTGTGTTTTAAAATATTCTTTTTACATTCGTATACAAAAAATATGGGTACAACACACTGAAAATGCCAAGTTGTTAACAAACAACCATGTCAGAATTGAAAAAGTGTTTTATATTCGTTAAGACTCCGAATTTGAACTTGAAGAAGAAACCTATTGCTTGTCAGATCATTGTCAATTGATAACTGTAAAGAATCATTTAATAAGTTATCGTTTGTAGTAGTAAATGCTGTCAAACGTTATTAGAGGACCTAGCACTGTTATGTTATCCCGCATACCGGCACCAAGTCCATTCCTAAGATTATTAGTAAAACGCCACCAGATGCAGTACCGATCTAGTGGTATTTCTGGCACTAGGTTTTGGTCCCACCTCACTGGAGTACCATTCGGTCCCTCTTTTGGCGGCAATCCGTCACTGTGAGTAGTACCAGATACAAGGTATCTAAGTCACCGTGTATCGGTGCCTTGGCACGGTAGTACATTTCAGTCCCTATATTAATTTTGTAATATTTGAATTATAATTAATTATACCGATTGTTAATAATAATTATTCATTAGTAATAACATTTTTATAGATTCATAATTATGTTATTCAAGATTTTGGTGTTTTAAAATATTCTTTTTACTTTCCTAAAAAAAAATGTGGGTACAACGCACTGAAGATGCCAAGTTGTTAAAAAACTACCATGTCAGAATTGAAAAAGTGTTTTATATTCGTTAAGACTCCGAATTTGAACTGGAAGAAGAAACCTATTGCTTGTCAGATCATTGTCAATTGATAACTGTAAAGAATCATTTAATAAGTTATCGTTTGTAGTAGTAAATGCTGTCAAACGTTATTAGAGGACCTAGCACTGTTATGTTATCCCGCATACCGGCACCAAGTCCATTCCTAAGATTATTAGTAAAACGCCACCAGATGCAGTACCGATCTAGTGGTATTTCTGGCACTAGGTTTTGGTCCCACCTCACTGGAGTACCATTCGGTCCCTCTTTTGGCGGCAATCCGTCACTGTGAGTAGTACCAGATACAAGGTATCTAAGTCACCGTGTATCGGTGCCTTGGCACGGTAGTACATTTCAGTCCCTATATTAATTTTGTAATATTTGAATTATAATTAATTATACCGATTGTTAATAATAATTATTCATTAGTAATAACATTTTTATAGATTCATAATTATGTTATTCAAGATCTACCATGTCAGAATTGAAAAAGTGTTTTATATTCGTTAAGACTCCGAATTTGAACTGGAAGAAGAAACCTATTGCTTGTCAGATCATTGTCAATTGATAACTGTAAAGAATCATTTAATAAGTTATCGTTTGTAGTAGTAAATGCTGTCAAACGTTATTAGAGGACCTAGCACTGTTATGTTATCCCGCATACCGGCACCAAGTCCATTCCTAAGATTATTAGTAAAACGCCACCAGATGCAGTACCGATCTAGTGGTATTTCTGGCACTAGGTTTTGGTCCCACCTCACTGGACTACCATTCGGTCCCTCTTTTGGCGGCAATCCGTCACTGTGAGTAGTACCAGATACAAGGTATCTAAGTCACCGTGTATCGGTGCCTTGGCACGGTAGTACATTTCAGTCCCTATATTAATTTTGTAATATTTGAATTATAATTAATTATACCGATTGTTAATAATAATTATTCATTAGTAATAACATTTTTATAGATTCATAATTATGTTATTCAAGATTTTGGTGTTTTAAAATATTCTTTTTACTTTCCTAAAAAAAAATGTGGGTACAACGCACTGAAAATGCCAAGTTGTTAAAAAACTACCATGTCAGAATTGAAAAAGTGTTTTATATTCGTTAAGACTCCGAATTTGAACTGGAAGAAGAAACCTATTGCTTGTCAGATCATTGTCAATTGATAACTGTAAAGAATCATTTAATAAGTTATCGTTTGTAGTAGTAAATGCTGTCAAACGTTATTAGAGGACCTAGCACTGTTATGTTATCCCGCATACCGGCACCAAGTCCATTCCTAAGATTATTAGTAAAACGCCACCAGATGCAGTACCGATCTAGTGGTATTTATTGCACTGTGTATCGGTACCCCGACACTGGACCACATTTTGGTCCCATTCATAGCTTTAAAATGGACCCTAGTCTGCGTAAGGCCATTTTTACACGGCACTTTCACTAGTCCCGCCACTTTGAAATGCAAATAACTCCACACCTATTTGAAATATCGCTCTGAAACTTTAATAGAATGTGTCCGCCACTTTGTACTACTGGCATTTGTAAAAAAAGTTCACATTTTGTCCCTCTAACTACCTCAAAAAGCCTAAAATGGGCCCCTAGTGGCTTCACCCCTAGAGGTAGTGTTATATAGTCAATGGTATTACACCCCAATCGCAAGCACACCTGTGCACTCAACAACGTTTAAATTCTCCAATGTTAAATATTTAAAACATCAAACCTTTATCAAAGTACTAGCTATACCCAAATGCCTCTCAATTCGTCATCAACCCACCACATTACTGTCAATAAAAAAAGGAACTCCAATAGTACTAATGCGAATCTTAAATCCACTTAAGCTGCACAACGTTACCAGACTAACGATTGAAAAAATGACGTCAAAATTGATTAAAGCAAAAATTATCAGTGGTAGATTTAAGCATAGACTAACCAACACAAGTTTTAACTAAGGGAGTATGTTTTATCTATGGTTTAAGGGAGAAATAGTCTTAATCATAAGAATACTGATGATTTAATCCAAATTACCCTCTGAATTTAATCAACTACAATTTCCTTAGTGTCTTTCTTTCGCAATCACCATTATAAAACACTAGGGCAATCCCTGACTATCGTCGGTTTAAATGTAGAAAAAACTAGGATACAAGCACAAGGCGGCCGTGGTACAAGAGTGATGTAAGTAAAAAAAGTAAAAAAAACCAGTGATAATATCGTTAACTTATGCTGTAGTTTATTTAACATAATATTAGTATGATTGTCTTTGGGCGAATAGCCATTGACTGTAGATAACCAATGGATTAACCTCAACATGCTCGATGGCTTTTTGTATAAGCCTTCACCCTTTAAAGAGAAACGTAATCTAAAAAGCACTTATGCTATTATAGCTCAGTAGTGCTGATGTCAGCTGACTACAGAGAAATTTTGCAATTCAGGCTGCTAGCTAGTGCTATGGAGAATGGGATGTCTGCTTCTGTCTGTTGTTGTCAATAATTAATTGGTTTTAGTGAGCTAGTTTCAGAATTTGTCAGGTGGGTTACAAGGGTTTACCGTTTGAAATTTAAGTGGCTTTTAAAAAGCGAACTATATTTGATCTACAAATTACAATTTTCGCTGCAGCATAATGGTGGATTCTGAAAAAGAAGAAGCTTTAAGCTTGGTAGGTATTTTGAAACATTCAACCAACTTACCTGTGAACTTAGCGGACCAAACTTGATATTATTGTCAATCCTAGGCAGGTATTTCAAATGACCCACTACACTACCCAATTGGGTCTGTCGCTAGCCTAGTGGTCTCAGACTTCATTTCAAGAGGGACAGTTTCGATTCCTGGCACATCCACAAATCATGGGTTTGGATCGCTTTTCCAAATATCGTTTGTAGACCTCCTTGAAAATGCCCCAGGTTTAGACAAAGACAAAAATAATATATCAACTGTTTGATCGAGGGATACAATATCTAATATTAAATGTAAAAAATTAGGTAAGTTAATTATTCAATATAGCCTAGGTGCCTCCTCATAAATTTCGGTAAGATTGTACATTATAAGGTGGCCATGAGAACCTATAGTAATTTAAATATCACCAGAAACTAGATTTTAGCCGAAAATAACAGTGCAAACATTTTTCTGCTCTCACAAATATTAACTGAACTACATACGGTCGTTTAAAGTTTTGTTTATTTTTGTAAGTACAGCCTAGCCTACTGAATATTTTTAGGCTACAATGTTTCTCACTAAAAACTTGCTAGCCTATAAGCTTAGGTTATTCATTTTCACTTGATTATGTGATTTAAAGTTAATATTAGACTCACACTAAGTTACTAATTAATAGGGTGATTAAATCATTTAAGGGCTGCACTTTACTTGACGTCCTACACTCATTCGATTGGTTTTTTCGATTCGATATATCGATTAATCGATTGCTTCATTCGATATATCGTTTGGTAAGTTAGGTAAGGTTAACCTTACCTAACTAACCAAACGATATATCGAATGAAAGAATCCAATGAAAATATCGAATCGAAAAAACCAATCGAATGAGTGTAGGACGTCAAGTAAAGTGCAGCCCATTTAAGCTATTTTATTAATATAACAATACCACTTATTATATTCCTAGATAGGCTTCCACAGTCACTTAATGTAGAATCGTGGTCTTCTGGCGACGACCATGTTAAAAACGATGAAACACTAACACTCACTGACGTTTCGGCCTCGATACATAGTGCCATTGATTGATTGATTGATTCTGTAGGGGCAGACCTTGTCCTGTTGCACGTCAGCCACTGATGGGCTTTTTGCGCTCCCCACATGGTACTTCAGAGTCCGTCAAACCTGAGTTGCTTAATGAACTCCAGCATCCTGTCTATGAGCTCCTCCTGAGGAAGGTGTCTGCCCCTTGTCATTGCACCAAGAGTACTGTCCCTTACCTCATTCAGAGCTGTGCAGTCATAGGTGATCAGCAGTCTCTTCTGATTGCCCACATTTTCTACATGCAGTGTCACCATTGTGGATCCTCAAGCGATGCAGGTGCAATTTCAGGAAGCCATGTCCAGTGACCATTCCTGTGATCTGTCTGAGTTGCCTCCTGTCTAAATGTAGAGCATTGGAGGCGTCTGGGAAGGGGAGAAGAGGGTGAGCTTACTTACCTATGGTGCTGAAGCCTAACCCATCTTTTCCTATGTTCCTCCTGAGCCCATGATATGACTGAGTGACATGCATGCCCACAAGAGATTCCACAGAAAGGCTGTGGTCCCTCGAAGTCTGAGGCTGACAAGACATTTGCTAGCCTGTCAGCCACCTCATTCCCTTCTATCCCTCAGTGCCCAGGAACCCAACAGAGTGTTACCTTGTTGCACCTGCCCAGGTCACATACCGCAGAAAGGCAGTCCCAGACCACCTTAGAATTGAATTCATAGGAGTCTAGCGCTTTGAGTGCAGCCTGGCTGTCTGTAAAAATGGAAATGTTGATGTCCCTGAAGCCTAGCCTCAGGTTTTCCCTAGCACATACCATTATCGCAGTCATTTCGGCCTGGAACACAGTTGGGTGAATGCCCATAGGAAGACAGATGTCCACCCCGTTCTGCACTCCATGAATTCCAGCCCCAGTCCCACTTCTTACTTTTGAACCATCAGTATACCATTCAAGGTCGCCTTGTAGAAGAGGATTCCCACCGCACATCCACTCATCCCTGGACGGAAGAAGGACAGTGAATGGTCTGGCGAAGAAGAATCGAGTCGGCATGTGATCCGAGGGCATGTCCATTACCTCCCCTCTTACTTGCTGAGTGATCCGAGAGTGACCTCAGGATCCTCCAACATCCAACCAAAGGTTTTCACACTGGAGTCTGTAGGCAGTCCTCCTCGCAGTGACCTTGACTTGCAGGTCAATCGGAGTGAGGTTGAGAAAGCAGTCCAGTGAGGCTCCCGGACAGCTGCTCATTGCGCCCGTGATGATGAGACAGGCGAGTCTTTGGACGGCAGCCAGATCTCTCACCGCCGACACCAAGTCCATCTTGGGCCACCACACGAGTGGTTCTAGGATTGCGGACCTGAGCCGAGAATACCTGGCCCCTAGAGACCCCCATTCCCGTTATTTTACCGTCCCTTACCCAGGGTTCCTGGATAAGGGCAAAGTCAAGAGCCCCACCCGCTGTACTCGCACAGAGTACCGCAGTGGCAGCTTTACTGTGCTGTAGGTTCGCCTGCAGTATTCTGATCGAGCACCTGAAAGAACCTTGAGCTGAACCCTAGTTATTCGAAGAAAATCCTCCAGCCCCTGTCCCTCAGAAACTTGGCACTCCCGCAGTCAATCGCCAGAACCAGAGTTTGGTGTTCCTCCTCACGCCTGCAACTGACCACTCTCCAGTCTCTGGTTGACAGTCCAGGATTCAGCTTCTGGACAAACTCAAAGATGTCTTTAGGGTCCTTCCTGGCCAGGATCCAGTCGGTATGAAGAAGGACCTTGGTTGGGAGATCTTTATGATCCCCCAAAATCACACTCGGCCCCCCCACGCCCACCGGACCCAGACCAACAGCCACCTCCTTGAGCCAATCTCTGGTCTCCTCGTTTCCGCACAAGACTGCGAGGGCACCTTTGTCCTTGTAGGTTTATAGGATCTGCTGAGGAGTGGCAGCCATAATAACCATCTCAAACAGTTTCTCCTGTAACAAGCAAAATTGTTCGTCATTGAACCTATCATCAGGATAGTTCTCCGGAACAATCGCCATCTTCCAGCCCGAAAGTTGGTCCTTGAAGGTCAAGTCCTTGCTAGCATCGCCCTCTGCAGTGCTCCTTGGCGGCGGGGGTGGGACATCCCACCTTCTCGGCCGCTTTGGGGTCTGATGCTGCTGCGGTGGACCTGAAACTCTTCGCATGGGAGAAATACCGGAAGCCCCTTCTCCAGCAGGACTAGGAGTTTCCTGCCTTTTCCTCTTGGGCTTGTTGACATACCCCTTGGATTTTTTGTACTCAGCTTTTGAAAGCCAAGTACCCTCGGCCTCCTTCCTTGCCCTAACCTGTGTCCTCCACACACTAGGGGGTAAAGATGGCCGTTGTCTTCTCTCCTGTTCTGGAACAGTTGCACATGCCTGGGTCTTTACGCTCAGATCCGGTGTTGTCACCTCAGAGGTAGAGCCCAGGGTTAGATTTGAATGAGCGCTTGAGTCAGCCACACTATCCGCCAAAGCTCTGTGTGCATCCTCAAGCATTTGAACATTGTTGATAACAAAATTTGATGGAGATCTTGCAATGAGGGAGCTCCTGGCGAAAGCCTCTTTGCCCCCCTCCGCCCTCGCCTCTGAAACATTGTCTGTTAATTTGCCCTCCTCAGAATCCATGGGCAAGCCCTCAATGAGGGCACCTGGGGTAGTTTCCGTCGTTTGATTACCAGACATCATAGCTTCTGAAACATACCAAGTTAGCAGTTTGAAGACCGTACCGTGTTCCATACACTCCACTCATCAATACCTACTCCAGCACCGCTGCACACATACCAGAACTGGAGGGCAGTGCAGCAGCCTTACCGTGATCCATTCACTCCGCCTGCTGCTCAATTGACACTGAGCCCGGACCGGTGTCCATCACCTCGGCCTCAGGTCATACTAGCGTCGCTGCTCCCCGACCCTAGGGCAGACATTCACTCTGCCACCATAGATCCGCTGCCTTTAGTGATAACAGTGGCACCCCATGTAGGCTGTGACTAAAGGACCCAGTACAGATTGTCTGACACACAGCGGTCTTGAAGGAAGGGGGCACAAGGGCCCACATCCCCCCTGAGGGGCTTACGCTTACCTCTCACCACCTACATAGTGCCATCTTCAGGGCGACTTGACTCCGCACAAATGAAAAGGGAGGGGATTTGGCTGGAAAAAGTATGACTCATCTGGTATCGTTCGATCATAACGAAACAAGGAAAGTTCTACAAACATATTTATCATAACATAACCGCCACAGCGCGCTATATCAGGGTTTCCTCCGTATAATATGAAAGTACTGTCTTATTTAGTGCCTTAATAAGATTATAGTTACATATCCAACATTGTTCGATATCCATAACCATTAATAAATAACCTTGATTCTCATTTCATTTTTACAGCAAAAAGAGTTTGAATGGGTTCTAAGTAAAGAAGTTCATGCTGTCCTACACCAACTCAATACAATCTTGGTGGTGAGTAAACTATACTTATTTTCTCATTTCAAGATATACATAATTGCATACATAATGCACACATACAGACACCACTTCAAAACCATTTTTTTTTGGGATTAGGGAGACCCAAAACAAATATATCCACTCAAACTCAAAAGTTTTGACGAAAACAGTTTTTTCTCCTTTATACTATTAAAGTAACTATTAATCTAAACTGTCCAATTCGCAATCACAATTAATTGCAAAGTCTGATTACTCAAACATTCAGACAGTAAATAATTTTGACCACAATTTTCCACTGTTAGCTTTTAGTAAAATACTTAGGTTGTATTATTATTTATAGGAATGTGCCCGACGATTCCCTTTGAATCTATGTGGCAGCGAGAATGTCCACAAAGAAGAGAAGTACTTCATGTCAGTGCCACCTGACCAGCTGAAATGTGTTGTTTCACTAGCTGGCGATACAATCACACAGGCGGTGAGTTTTTTATACAACAGTTATCAAATTTAGAGATCACTAAAAGAGTAGGTACCTGTCCTTCGCACGGGGTTGGCGTATAAGTATAAAATGCTTATGACAGTTATACTCGTGCTTTGCGTTTGAAAGGGAGAGGACATTTGAGGGAGTTTTTTGTTGATGCTTGGTTCAAATTGGCTATTGTCATAAAATAGTGCTGCACTCTGTTGGTAAACATTATAACTTTTGGTAAACATTATAACTTTTTAGTGCCGGTACTTGGTACTATTGAATATCATAGAACCAACTTGTGTAGTTGACACAGCTGGCAAAATACTTTAATTTTTTTTTATATGAATACTAATTAGGTAAACATGGGAAACTCCAGTGCCACTGGGGCAGAGCCCGAAAGAATTTTTGAGATAAGAATATGTCTATATGTTAATCAGGAATGTGAACTATCGTCATACCAAATTTCAAAGTATTTCAGACCAGTAGTAAGAGAAAAAAGCCCTAAGTCCCTAGAGAGTAAGTCAACTGCTGTAAACAGTTGTAAATTTCAATTGTTAGCATTCACATCATTACTCATCATACACTCATCTCCATTCATACTTGGCTTAAAATACCTAAGTACTTTGTATGGTCGCAATTTCATTGAAAAGTAATAAAGTATTGATCAAAATTATTTAACGGTTAATTTATTAGGTTAGGTTTTAGCTTATTGTTACATTGGCATCAAACAGTTCCACACATGAATGGTATAATGTTAATGTATAGTAACACAATAAATAGAGGAAATGATCGAATTACTTACTAAACAGCTGCATAATCTAAATTAAGCTAGAAGTAGTTTTGAGTGGTTATCTTTACATGAAAATTATTTTTGTTTTTTAGCTTAGTTTTTTAATTAATGATGCAATATGACTTGATGTGACTTGAAATGCAATTTGATTTGATTTGATGACAAAAAATATAGCTCATCGCACAGGCAAAGAGTGTCTACAACCCTCGCTTGGGTATAAAACTTGAGGTCGGGTCGAAAACAGTCACTTTGCGCACTAGTGATGAAATATTTAATTCCCAAAACCCATATAAATAAAATTTCATTAGACTCCCTGACACCTTTTAACCAGACATCAGTTTAACCGGACTACTTTTGGCAGAAAAATACATTGAAAATTTTTATCAGCACATCGGTTTAACCAGGGACTGGATTGGCAGAAAGTGGGGGTACTGAAACAACTTTTCTCGTGGGAAAGAATTTAAACCAGCAGGCAAGCACATGTATTGATAGTCTCGTTCATACAGTGTGTTTTTTAAATTGTAGTTGTGAACTTTTGTACTGACTGGTTGTTTGTTAGAGATTTAAAAGGTACTCATGCTTGACATCTGGTGTGCTATGTTTACAGAAATTATCCCAAAAAGTGCATAGTTATCTAATAATCATTATTGGCTTGTATAATATGCATTAGAGGTTCCTAATTTACGACTTTTAAGAACGTTGGTTAAAATGTAAAAACCGTTAGGCCTATGTTGCTTCGTTAGCTGGCTAAAGTCCTGAGGAGTCTGGATAAGAGGAAGTTTTTTTTTTTCTACTGTATCTGTATTACTTGCATCACATAGCCAATTTGACAACCTTCGATAATACCTTTTAAGTACACATTGTGTTCAATTAACTTCTCTATGATAACTAACGTACATTAGACAAACATTAATGCTAAGTCCAATGAAATACCACACTCTGACATATATAGATAAAAGTTTGTTTAGTACTTTAAGTATCATACAAAAATTATTATCATTTGATTAATCCAACTGTTATCTAATTATTAATATTTTCCATTGGCAAAGGTTAATAAAATTAGTTAGGACTGTGTTAGCTCCTGAAATTTTATGGTCTGCTTGTGTTTTGTCTTTGTGATTCGTCCATTGATTATATATCATGAAGTCTGACCAAAGCAATATTATTATCTTTTCTATACAGTAGAACCTCTTTAATCCAAACTAATTGGGACCGTGGGTAGTTCAGACTATTGAATAGTTCGGATTACAGAACATATTGTTGTCTTTACATAACAATAGCTAAAACAAGGCTAAAATGGATCGTAATTGTTATGAGAAAAGTTAAAAAAACGCTTTATAAAGTAAAATACAGTGTTTATTTAATACAGTAGTAAACATAGTGAACAAACAGTACTGTACATTAAATACAGTATACAATAAAGAACTACTGTACTGTGTATAAAGTACAGCAATGAGGTGTTCCGAGTAGTGGATGTTCGGATTACGGGGGTTCACATTAAAGAGGTTCTACTTGTGGAGTGTTTGTGAGTATTAATGAAATATTAAGAGAGAAAAAAATAGTAAACCATGTTTACAAGAAGAACAGAAAGGAATCTTTATTTTTACAATATTATGAATTTCAGATTTACAATGATCAGCTGTTGTTTTTAATATTAAATGTGAAGGCTAGTAGGAAAAATTATCTAAAAGAACTGAACACTAATGTATATATATATTTTAACAAAAATATGTTTCAAAACAAAACTTTTCTGTGGATCTCTTTCTCCCGAGCTCGGACTTGTACTAAAGAGTTATTTTTAAATCCATGTTTTGTCATTTTTATCTACAGCCTATATTTTGTTGAAACCATTGATTTGAATTTCATGTTATAAAGTGTAATATAGCTACCTTGTCAAATCTAACAGTTCAATTAACACAGCCAGTGAGTCACAAAAATCCCTGGTTATCAGCTGATAAACAATCTATTGATTCACAGACTACACACTGATAAATAAATAATTGACTCATAAACTACTCATCATTATAATAAGTGTGAGCAATAAATTGTTGTTAAGGGTGTTTAAAAAAATCATCCAATTTTGAAAAATCATAGCTAATCATCTATGAATACGATTTGATCGAACAACATACTGTTAGAAAGAGGTAATTTTCGAGTGTCGCGGGGTTTCTTCCACGTTGCAGTAGCTTCTATCAATGCCCAGCTCAGTAGTTGTCAAAATGGCGTATGCAATAAACGCTCTGAAATTTCAAATTTCCCCCATGTTATTCTTATGGGGAATAGCATTGAATAGCTCATCTGAACCATTTAGAAACGTGCTAGAGACTTGAAAATTGAAAAGGGTGTTGAACATCACCTTAAATTTCCGAGAAAATATTCAAAAGTCCCATTTTCAAATTTTAACCCCCCAAAAAATCCCCCCTTCACACCCCTTCACAAATAAAAAAGAAAAAAACACGACGTACTTTCAAAAATTTTCATTTATTTTCAAGTTTTCAATTGTATTCACAATTTTTTGCACATATGCTGTGCATCTAAAGGCTTGAGCACCTGTAAATGGTATGTACAAAAACTTTATTAGTTACTCTTTTATATAAATTTAACCTCATGTCCATATGATTATTAGTTTTCAAATTATAAACCTACGAAATTGGATGATTCTTTTTAAACACCCTGTATTTCTCTTTTGTCAGACCAGTTCAGTACTCATATGCTCAATCGAACTCCCATTCCTACCTTTTATTGCTTTAATTCTCAATTTAGTTTCGCCTTGTCTGCTTTCGTACGCAAACATCTATAATTGGAATTCTAACAAATGGAAACAATAATTATTGTAATTGTACTGTCCGATCCCATCTGCAAATCTCACCAAAAATGTACTCTTCAATAGTTGTTTACTTTAATGTAAACCAATGCTATAATCCACTTATCTATCAATACAGTTATGATAATTGCACTACTCAACCAATTAAAGTAAAATTCAACCCAAAGATAAGCATCTGTACCAAGAACAAAATTTTTCCTTTGATGTATTAACTTTTGGGTTTTACCCAATGTATTTTAAAGCCTTTCAAAGATGGAGTTTTGGGAAGTAGTTATTGTGAAATCAAATAAAAATCTAATTTATTCATATATGTTCGGATAAAATGAATAGAGTCTGTAAGAAATGTAACTTATAGGCTATTCACAATATTATGTTTAATTCTTGAAAGGAATAACATGCTTTTTCTACTAAGAATTTCTTAAGTTTCAAGTAAAATTTTCTGCTAAATTGTTTGTTCTTGGGACTGAAGAATTCTTAATTGGAATAAGGACTTCCTCTAATCCATTGTTGTAAGTTTTGAATAAACCACCATGCAAAAAGTTATTTGAAAACTTTTATTTAAGTCACCATACAAAATCAGTACTGTATACAATTTGCTACCTGAATAACAATATATTGGCTCATTTCAACAGTAAACCTAACGATATTTCAAGTCTGTTAAAATACCTTAATGTCCTTAAGTACCTTAATGTCTTTATTCCTTATTTTTTAAATTATTAATTTAGAACTATTCAATTACCATTTTGTTGGTTTTTTACCATTTTCTTATTTTGTGTTAATGTTGTCTAACCATGCAATGTGTGTGCATGGTTTTATTTAATATTAAGCTTCATTGATCCATTTTCAAATTAAAAACACATCATCACATAAAAAAAAAAACGCCATTTAAGGAACTAATCTTTTAATTACAGTGATTATTAACTCATTTTGCCTAAAACCCATAGCACAAATGCAGACATCAAATTGAGTGAACACAAACAGTGAATTGACCACAAAAAGTTATTATTTTAATTTTTCAACCTTTTTTATCCTAGTCCCCATCAATTCTGGTGGTAGAAAATGTACTCTACTCCCCACTAAATAGACTGCATCCCGTTCATCTCTCTTTACTCATTGAGTCCTGTTACAATTTTCAACCATTTTACATCCATAAAAATATTTCAGTAGGTCACAAATTTGCCAAGCGAGACGGCATAAAAAATTACTGTAATGTCAAACCGCAGGACATAAACTTCCGAGTCCAGCGACAGCAGAATCAGAACTACAGAACGACTATTGGAGGAGACAACCATTGGAAGTTGCATCAGATACAAGATGCTGCCAACCATCTACAGCTGGCTCTCCAGCTGCTCGACAACATCGAAAAGGACTACGCCTTCAAGTGAGTGAATAAAATATCACCATAAACATACTCCCTGATTTTGTCATCCTTATGAATCAGCTGATACAATATTAACGGTAAATTAAAATACCCTGTCAACCAAAATAAAGGCGGTGAGGCAGTTTTGGATAACCTTTTCTTGGGTTGATCAGTTGTTGAATTTTAAAGGCTATTTAAATTCAAAGAGACCTAGAATAGTCGTCTTTTATGTTATTTCAGTTACTGTAATCTTAAAATTTACAACTTTACACTCAGAACTTATTTCTTAAAATAATTAAAAATAATTTTCTGAACTTTATTTTTACAGTCGTTATTGCGACAATGGCCAAGTCGAGCCAACTACTCACACCATGACGAAGAATTCTTGTCGCATTTATATAATTTTTCCAATTGATTAAATGGTTTTGAATTCGTTTAGCGGTTTCTGGATTTTGGGTTAACAGGGTTGTTTTGTTAAATAGGGTTTAACTGTGTGTTTGAAAAATGTGAAGAAGGTTTACAGGTAGTCTGCCGCTAGAATTTCTGTAGTCTTCGGAAGGACTTGTACAAACAGTGTTCTTCTTGCATTTAAGAGCCTAAAATTAGCTAGGCTTAACCCACCAGCAAAACTTCAAAGAATAACACAAATTTGTTAAAAATGATTTTTAAAATAGTATCAATAGTTGTTCTGAAAACAGATGCATCAGATTAACACTTGCTAAATAAAGGAATTTTTTCTATTTATTTAGCAATTGGGTCATAGCAAAATATGTTACAGTTCATCGGAAGAAGTTCTTCACATCCTCGGGAACATGCTAGGTTGTCTTCAGAGAGGGAGAAACACACTTATAGTTCCACGGAAAAAGGCAATGGATGAACTGATGAAAAGCCGTAATATGGTATGTAAACAATTCACACACAAAGGTATAGTTTATTAAATTTTTTATTTACCACAGTGTCGTGTGCAATCCCGGTTACACTCGCTAATGCCATCAACTTCCACTCAAGCTCGACACTGTTTGAGGTGGGTCCTCTCACCCGCTAAAGGTGCATTGTCCCTGAAGCGACTCTTGCGATAGTAGCTGAGCGACAGTAGCTCAGCGATAGTAGCTCAGCGATAGTAGCTAACCATGACATTGTCCCAGAAGGGATTGTTCCAGAGCGATTCTGTTCATTAGTTTGCTGACTTTCGAGTGAATTGGTGCTACTGTATAAGTGCCATGACACCAGCTAATTTTAAAACATTTTTATTAGCTCACTTTCTTGTCCGGTACAAACTTTGCAATCAATAACTAACTTCCCGACGAGCTAGAGAATTTAAACTTTAAAAATAGCTCACAAATGGATGACAATGCAATAATATATCATTTAATTTTCATATTTCCCTTGGGCTAAGCCCCATGGGCTTACAAATTTTTCATGTTTAAATTTTGGAAGAATGTAGACCTAAATATATCAATTGAAGTCAGCTGTAAATACTAAAATTTGACGGTTCAAAGTGCAGAGGTTAAGAGGTACAGGTTCTGCTCCCGAGAGATTCTAAATATAAAATAAGCAGCTCAAAGGAAAGATAAAACATATGATTACAGATAATAAGTGTTTGGTTATGTATTAACAGACCATGTAAAATAGATCTAACATATTTACACATTAAAGACTAAAATGTAGCCTATAAAATAATTATAAATAAAAATAATTTTAAAAAATACCACGTTTTTAAAGGCACAAAAAAGTAAAAATAATTTATAAATATGTGGAGAGAATAAATACTTGTAAGATTTAAAACAAAAAAGTGGGGCGCATGCAATGGATAATAATAGTTCAATAGGTGAAGATAATTGTAAAATTAGTATGCGCCCCACGTTTTTCTTTAAATCTTCAAGTATTTATTCAATACATATTCTGTACTTTATAGTGCGTTTAAAAACGTTGCATTTTGAAAAAGTTTTTTTTATTTATAATTTATAATAGTAGTGATTTAATATTATGTAGATATCTCATATCTTCTTTAGGGGTAAAAAGTAGTTTTGTATTCTTTGAAGACATTACGACCAAAACCCGTCCACTACAAATCGCTCAGCGACTGCGACTCTGACTCCCCTCAGAGCAGACCCGCTACAGTCGCTGTGTTCAGCTGCTAGCCGCTCCAGTCGCAGTCGCGTCAAGGACAATGGTCCCATTTGAAACAACGCTAACCAGTGCTCAGCTACTATCGCTGAGCTACTATCGCCATAGACAAAAAGAATTAAATATAGACCGTCAGCTGTGCTGCGGTTACCATAGGTTCTGGCGCACACCGCTAGGATCGCCTCAGTAGTTACAACATACGCGCTACGTAAACTACAGCGGTGTGCGCCCGAACTTATGGTAACCGCAGCACGGCTGACAGTCTATATTTAATTCTTTTTGTCTATGCTATCGCTCAGCTACTATCGCAAGAGTCGCTTCAGGGACAATGCACCTTAAGCCACACACTAGTTAGCTTAATATGAATAGCACACAAACTGGAATTGGATATGCGCATGTAGGAGACTACACTCGACACTGCAACACGTCAGTCAAATCAGCCCCCTTGTCACATGACAACTAACGACTGACCTAGTGATGGAATGTGGAACTACCACTGGCAGGTGAGATTCAACAAACAACTTGAGCCTCAGAAGGTTAGCAGTAATGGCTACTGTGCCAAAATATGCTGTGACGAGCTTCACCATCGGAAAGGGTTTAAGACTTTAATCCTTTCGACAGAAATTTGGGTGAAAATCAGTCAAATAGTGTACCTATTTGATCAGTAGGAATTTCCAAATGCCCTGTAATACCTTCTGTGTATTCTTTGATCAATATTCTTTGTCCAAATGTTTTTCTTTTGTACTCTATTAAGGTCGTATATTTGCTTGTTTTTCATGTGCTATGATTCTGTGTTTACATTATTTACCTTTTAATTTCTTCACCATCATTGTAACCCATAAGCCTAATGTTTAAAATTTGTAATAATTAGTTTTAAATTATGTATGCATTATCAAGATTGAATTTGTTTCTTCAAAAACCTTCCCCAAATGTTTACTTCAATTTCATTAGTAAGTTTGGCTGAAATATATTCAGCCATTATTGCATAATACGGTATGAAAGTTTGCATAAGGCCTGACTCAATGAGGCTAAACAAACCAGAAAACAAGTTAACCTCAGAACATTTGTCTTTGTCCAGAAATCGCTGAAGCCAAATCTACCGGAAGACGTGGCCATCAGCTTCTACATCCAGAGTCACAAGCTAGTGTTTGCCGTGTACCATGTGACATCAGTGCACGGGACTATGAAGTTCGACTGCCACTCGACTGACGCCTCGGTGCCTTGGCTAAACGAGGTTTTGGTTCTGTTCACCGTAGCACTGCAACTCTGCCAACAGCTCAAGGATAAGGTGAGGAGTCACACTATAGTTATGGACAGCCTATGTTGGACCAAAGAGTTGGGTCTATGTCCTAAGCCGGGTGTTATTCACAGGTACGGCAGTCGGTCCTTTATTTCTGCCGCTTGACTTAGTTCACATTAAAGGGGACTAGTGTGACTGGGATAACCGATGTTTTTGAAACATCAATGTTGTTTTAATTTGATGGTAGGTGACAGCTTGGTTGTTACATCAATAATTTTTTACTTCAATGTTAGGTGACATATTGTTTGTTACATGAATGTTTCTGACAAACATGGATGTTTCTGTAGCTGAATTTGCAGTAATAGCAATATTTTCACCTACCTAATATATTTTAGCTGCAAAAATCCTGAATGGGAGTGAGCTGGGAAATCCCGCCAATCACCAAAGCACTTCTAGTGAGATGTAACGTAATAATTTACAAATAAAAAAAAACTTTTTAAAACAAAACGTTTTTAAACGCACTAAAAAAGTAGAAAACAATTTATAAATATGTGGAGAGTATAAATACTTGTAAGATTTAAAACAAAAAACGTGGGGTGCATGCAATAGATAGTTTACAATTACCTTCACCTATTTAACTAATGTATTGTTATTAATTGCATGCACCTAACGTTTTTCGTTTTAAATCTTACAAGTATTTATACTCTCCACATATTTATTAATTATTTTCTACTTTTTAGTGCGTTTAAAAACGTTTTGTTTTAAAAAAGTTTTTTTATTTAAAAATTATTTTTTACTTTTTAGTTTTTAATGTATGTGAATCTACTTCAAGCATCTATATCAGATTAAGACAGAGGCATGTGGGAAATCTAAGGTTTATTTGAGTTTCTTTTCGTATAATTATGTATTGTATTAGATTGAATGTATGGCCTATCTACTAACTGTAAATATATCAATTTATTTAATTTATTGTTTACTTTATAGAATACTAAATAAATAACAATTGACATTATTAACAAACACCTTTATATCTGCAATTAGTATCAGATTGTTTATCTTTATTTTGAAATGTTTGTTTGTATAAAGAATCTCTTGGGAGCATAACCTGTACCTCTTAACCTCTGCTCTTTGAACTGTCAAATTTTAGTATTTACAGCTGACTTAAATTAATTGATATATTTACAGTCTTTCAAAATGTAAACATAGAAAATTTGGAAGCCCGTGGGGCATAGCCCCATTTTCCAATTTTTGTACTTTTGGAAGTATGAAATTGAATGATATAATATTGCATTGTCATCCATTTGTGCGCTATGTTTCAAGTTTCAAGTCTCTAGCTCATCGGGAACTTAGTATAAAATTGATTGCAAAATTTGTACTGGACAAGAAAGTGAGCTAATAAAAACGTTTTAAAAAACAACTTTTGACTAGAGCTTAGTAAAAAAATAAACTAACTGAAATTATCTTTATGCCAATTTTAATTCATAAAGACTGATACTTTATACTTCGATTCTTGCAAATGTGAAAGAGTCCGTTTGGTTGATTAGCTTAAGCGGACTAAAAACAGACATAAGACAAAACTATTGAAAAACCATTGATAACATTGATGTTTTTTACCCAGAAAACATTGATACTTTCATTATATTGATGTTTACAGTAGATGGTGTTGTTACTCTCCCTTTTACTTGCTCCCTTTTATCTCATACCAACCTAAATGAGAAATTAGCTGTGTGATTAAATATTGCTTGTTTAGTAAAGGGAATGTAGCTTAAGCTTTTTTGTGGTATATTACTGGATATAAAAACAAATGCATATGTCGAATTATGTCATCACATTATTAATGTTTTTAGTCAATTAGTTAGTTTTATTTTTCTTATATTAGTAATTCTGTTAAAATTAATTTTGTCTTCCAGTGAAAAAAATAAAGGAAACAGATAAAGGACTAGTTTTTGTTGTAGCCTTTGATTATCCAATGATGAACTTTTATTTCAGATTTGTGTGTTCGCCCAATACAAGGACTTCACAATCGGATCACGCCCACAGTCCAGCATTGCGTAGTGAGGAAAAGTAAAATTGTTGTACTTAAATCTCGTTGAGCAATACTTTCCTTCTCTGATATTATCTATACTACTAGTCATGACAAGGCTATTTTTGCTCAGTGGTCCTGAAATTGGCGTCAGCGAACTTAGTCTTTAAAGACGCAAATACAGACAAGATGTCTATAGGGTGAAACCCTGGGATATACTCAGGGCCGGTTCTAGGAATTTTTCAGAGCTAAGCGAACACCCGAATCAGCGCCACTTAGAATTAACTTAACCCTATTTGTGAATTTTTTCCCAATAATTTTGGGAAGAATTTTTTTTATAAGTTTAGGTAGAAGAATACTAACTTGCAATAAAAGGCTGTTTATTATTCGCAGAAATGTGACATTTATACACTTTTTCTCATCATATAAACTATAGCAAAACCAAGGACACACTAAAAAAAACAGGCCGTAATGTAATGCTCGTCAAGCATGACGTCACGATAGAAGACGGCAATGACGTAATGTTTGCCGTTTGTGATCAGCTGCTTGTTTTAATCTTTCCTTGGCAAATAAATAAATAAATACCTACGTCATTGCCGTCTTCTATCGTGACTTCTTTGGGCTGACTGGACTCGCCACCAGGGGCCCATTTCATAATAAACTACACGTTACAAGTTACAACTTGTAACTTGTAATTTCCATTAGATTTGCATTGGGCGATCAGCTGATTTACTAATAATATTAGTTTGTACTTTATTATGAAATGGGCCCCAGATGATTTCTACAAAAGTCTACTCATTGATTTGGCTTTTTTTCTTCCTCTTCCAAATTCGCCTTACGCTTTCTATGATAAGTGCCAGACGGTTTCTTTTTTTCTGCCATTGTTTTCATAGTTTCGGCTCGCAATATGTTTTACTCACTCATTCAGTTTGTACTTTCTTTTTATTTAATGCGCCAATTATAAATTAAACTTAAAACTCTCGTAATAATTCGCTTATCAACAATCATGAATCAAAACAATGCCAATATGATACCGATACGGTATAGGCCCACGCACGATTACTAGAAAAATACCGGTATGGATCATAAACATAAACAAATGACGTTTTTGGCCCGAAAATAAACATTATTTAACATTGCTTAAATGGAACTGCCAAAACATATGTTCAATGCTATTAGTATAGGATTCGGGCCAACAACGTCATTTGTTTATGTTTATGATCCATACCGGTATTTTTCTAGTAATCGTGGGCCTACGTATACAACTAGTGCTCTGCTCTAGGATCAGAGGCAGAAAGGAGTGAAAGAAAGGGGAAGTTTCTTGTTGTGACAAGTGGCGCTGCGCGCTTGCTTATCTCGAGCATGAGTGATTCGTGAAATGAAACCCATAGGTGCCGCACTGGCGCTGACGCTGCCGACTGCCGAGCGTCAGCTCAGTTCAAATCGAAACTGCAAATGGCATTGAGTCCTTGAGTTGTAGTGCTGTACAAATATACAAATTTTCAAGTGCTGTTGGTACAAACAGAATAAATGCCTTTATTGTGGTGCTTTGAATACTTGAACTCTGAGCAAAAATAAACAAAACTACGTTGTTCACGTAAAAAAAATTTTCCGTTGGCACCACGGCGCCACTTTTTCGTGGTGCCATATGCGGCTGCGTAGTTCGCGTATGGGTTAAACCGGCCCTGGATATACTTGTATCTATATTACTTTTAATCCAATGTAAATTTCATTCTTTTACATGTTTGGATGGTAAGGAAGGATCGAAACCTAGTAGGTATCCTCAAAGAGGTATTATTACCACTGGCTGTTAAAAAAACTCCCCTTTTAAGTTATGTTAACATTGCAATGGGTGAACTATAAACAATTTTGCTACAGCATCCTTAACATTTCTCCGCAGTACAACTTACATGGGAATTTAAAAAAAATTTTGCTCTTAAGCCCTGTTTACATGGTGTACAAAAAAATGTTCAAATCATCCCGTGTCAACAATATGTTTTAAACAAACTTCGGTGTCCACACAGCTTAAAACAAGTAAATCAATATCAACACTTCTTGTGAAAAAACAATTTTCTGTCACTAACACCATAATAACTAGCTTTCTTTGGATTAATGTAAGATTTTGTTTAAAAAATGTGTTGTAAACTCTGCTATAAATGCAGCTCAAAATATTGCGTAGCACAAACATTTTGTACCACAAATTTTATACCCAAACATTTAAAAATCTTGAAAGTAACAAGCTCTAGCAATTTTGTCAAAATTGTAACATTCTATTTTAATTAATTAGTTTATTGTTTTAATTCAGGTTTATATGTATAGATTTAGTTTGTAAATATTTGTATTGGTTTTCACAAAGTAACCAGACAATACATTTTGAAGCTACGTATTATAATTATTAGTTCATGTTGGAAAAAGTTTCATAATTAAATTTGGAAATTTATATAACAAATATTTTGTTTGTAATCGTATAGGCCTTCCTTACAATGAAAATATTCCTTAAAGGGGGTATATTTACTAAGATTGTTTTTGCAATAGTACATTAGACTATCCAACACAAGTAGATTACTCATCCTTATATGTAATACGTAAAGGCGATTTCTACGAAACACTACTCCTCTGTTAATAATGGACGGATTTTTACAAACGATGTGTCAAAATTAAGTATTTTTTGTGTAGACGCCCCCTTTCCCCAATTCATGTAATAAAAGTCCTCGGGCTTTGCCCCACAGGCTATCAAAATACCAATGTATTTCTTATGAAGAAAAGATTTTGTTTACTTAAACAGACGAAAGATTTATACTAACTAGTGTCCCTGTTGCTCGAATTCGAGCAATTGCTAAGTATTACAGGCGTCATTTTAAATCAAATTTCAACCAAGTCAGCAAATGTTTGTAGCAAACTGTTAAATTAGCAAACTTATTGACTGTTTACAATTAACATATGCTCTTCTTCTCACTTTTGATTTCTGACAACAGCTGGAGTTTCATAAAAATTTTTGTTTCCAATGTTAATCTTATGGAGAAATACGAAACTTTAAAGGGCTCCAGGGCCTCACTCTCTAATTATATCCCTAAAAAGAAAGTTTCCTGCACAACTTCATGTTACGCTCTATCCAATGACACCAAAAACATGACAATCGGTTCAGTAGTTTCGGAGGAGTAATTGTCACAAAAAAACTGCTTGCGTATTAAATAAGTACGAGAGGTCGTCCAGTGGTCGAAACTCGACCAAAAATATGTAATGTAAACTTACTCACTTCTCTATTTTCACCCCACACTGTAAATAAAACATGTGATTGGAATTTCTTCCCTTTGTTTTGATTTTCTGTTTACATTTTGTTGTTATTTCGTCACCATCATGGCAACCCATATGGTCCATGTTAATTTTTTGAAGTTTTCAAATTCATTTTTTGTGCTTATTTGTTAGCCTATTTAAATTTATAAAGGGATTCTGCACACCTACAGGAAAATAGCTTTCCAACGGTATGCGTAGATTTTCCCTACGATGCACACGAGCTGAGAAAAAAGGTTTTAAAGAAACATGCTTGCCTATTAATATATAGATAGATATAGATTACAGCTGTTCATAGTAAACACTTGATACACACAAGAGCTTTCATTTTCAGATTCGATAACTGGAGTGGAATGATTGATTACACATTATCTTTGAGTTGACTCTTTTAAGTCATTGGAAACTTTGATTGTTATTCGTTTTGAAATAACGCATGTATTACTTTGCAATTGCTCGAATTCGAGCAACAGGTGCACTAGTCTCTTTGTAAAATTTGCAGCTCCCTTTGTTTGTCTAGTTCATGTTGGTGACACTGGGCGCTAGTGTTGACAAAATCTTGTTTCTATAATTTTAGGGAAAATTTCATGGTTTGTGCTTTACTGTTTGGTTAAATAACTAGGGGTCGAGTTATTGTTTATAATTAGATTGTTTGATTTGGTTAAACAAGGTTTTAAAATAACTGAATTACTGTAACAAGAAACAATTTGTTAATAAAAATACAATCCTGGCAGGACCGAACGGAACTAACAATGAAATCTTCGAATTTAGCAAATTTATTCTTACTATCCTATACTTATAAAATTTGATCACAAAACTTTTCTTTTCCCCATAGCAGCAAACCTAAGTACTCGTTTATCTAATGTTATTTCAATAGGGAGTGAAATATAATGTCTTGTTTAAAGAAATATTTGAGTAAAAATCCATTTAAAAAAATTGAAATTTGCTTATATATTTGCTTATTAGTGTGCAGGTTTGCATTGGCGCAGAGTCCATCTTTACTGTATGTTTGACCAACTAAAATTTCTTTAACAAGAATTTGTGTTCGTTAAATAAGGGAAAACTGATAAAATTAGACATATAAATGCTGGAGCTCAAATGTTAAACAACCTGACTTTTGAAAGGATTGTTTGCCCCAAAGGTGATGTTGAGAAATAGCTGAAGAGGGCATGGTCCTAGAACAGCCTCAGTCCAGTGGGGTTTTGGCTCCTAGGACTGAATCCTCCCAAAACTAACTAAGGACAGCTCCTGTACTTAGTCACGTATCTTTGTATACAGCATTAGTAATTCTATTTTTTAATCCAATTTTCTAAGTAAAAAAAAACAATAATAAACCAACTAACACATTGTATACAAAGACATCCTCACTCCACGGCCCCCGGGGCAATTTTTGCCGTACCTGGACTGTTAGGAGTATAAACAAAATTTTAGAGATATGAATTATATTTTATCTAAAATTACAAAATGCTTTATAAATATGTGTTATGTCCTTCAGTTAGCTTAAACACATGTTTAGGCTTTTATTTTCAAAAATTTTTCCCGGGCCCTTTTTTCACTGATGTTTTTGTACCCTCCAAACCCATATGTTTACCCCACAACCCAAAAACGATGACGAGCTGACACTGCATGGGGCGCTGAGGATAATTTGATGCAAACCAAAATTGGCTCTCTGAGAAATCCTAGTGAGGATCCCTAGTATCCGAAGTAATTTTTAAAAATCCTTTGGTTGTTGTAGTGTTACTATTACTGGTATTAGGTCTGTGTGGTTATAGGTATAATTATATACATAAAAAAAAGGTGAAATCGTAGAATTACAGGTTTTAAAATGAAGATAATCAATTTAACGTAATTTAGAATTAGTACTTAAATGTCAATAGGTCTGGTCATATTATTGAATTGCACTATCTAAGTAAGGTAAAATGTTATTATTCAGATTTTTTTTATTTTTGCTTCAACGCAATAGACTTTTATTAAATTAGTTCATACCTAGGCTTATTTTATTATAGGTACCATAAATAAAAATATTTGTACACAATTTTTGGAAATGTCCGTTAGCTATAATGATTATGACTGATTGTGGCTGATTTGTCCACAAATAATTAGATAAAAAGATTACATATTCAAAGGACTTAACTATACACATTATACTTACAAATTGTAAATTAACTAATCATCTGCCGTAATTTGTGTCTTTGCTGTCAAATGTCAATTCCGATCAGATTGTTAATTGTTGTTACTTGTGTAGACTACCAGTATTTTAAATATATTGCACTTGTAGATAGGTTAGATGTATGTTAACGGAACAAGTGTGTTACTTAAGTGCTGATCTGCTTAATAGTTATCACAATTTATATGTAATTTAGTATATGCAAGACAATTTCATTATTTTGTATATAATTTTAATTAGTTTTTTAGCTTGAGAAGGAATTATCTGGTTTTCTTAGTAATCTTAGTTTCAATACTTACTGCCATACGATCGATATATTTTTGATTAAAACTAAAAATATAAAGGTTATCTTTTATTTGTTATTCTCAAGTCTTAGTATTGTCACAGAGAAGTAATGAACAGAAGTTACACTCCATGGTACACTTTAAATGTGTCTAGCAGTAGTGCTGGTGTCTAGGGTAAAGTCCAACACCACCCCACTTGGTCCCATGTACTACAATGGTGGAGGAAGAAATAATTGTGCCTTTTGCAAAAGGAATTTCCGAACAGTGCTTGGTTGTCATATAACTTGTTTCCTCTGTACCTCACTTCTCTGTGATATAGGTAGTTGATGCAGGTTATGATTTGTAAAACAGATTGTATCACGTTATTTTGTATGAAAAATTGTTAATAATAACAGATACAAGAAGTTTTAAAAGTTTACAAAATTTGTACAGCACAAACGTTTTTCCAATCAAATTTTTTCAAAATTAAACAACAGTCGGAAAGATAGTATTTGAAGCTTGGTAGGTTAGTAGAAAAGCTATCTGAAAGTATTAATTTAGTTTTAAGACAATAATAAGTGTTAAGAATGGATGTTATTGTAATTTGGCTGTGAGAAAAAGATGTTTTCTCCCACATGTTTGCATTGTTGATTGAAAGCAATAAATTTTATTGTTGACAATGCTTAGTTGGAGTTTTGTATCTTACTGTCAAACCCTTGCAATCTCATATTGGTTATAAACAAAATCTTTTAATTTTTTATGATGTTTAGACCTTTTAAGTTTTACTCTATTTCAGTTTATTAAATATTTAAATTTATTTCATAGTTCTCAGAATAAAAAATCAAGATCCCAAAATATGCCGAACTTGAGGCAAAATATACAAAGGTATAAGATAACAGTAAAATAAATTAGCCTATTCACAAGGTTGAGAAGGGAAAGAAAAATACAATTAATATAAGACCAAATACTTTTAATATAAAAGTCACAACTCAAAATGCAATATCTTTTAATATAAAAGAAAGGAGAAAAAATGACCCTCTTCCTAGTGAGGAAATTTCTTACGAAATAATGCAGTACGACCTAGTTGAGCCAGAGATAACAAAGCAAAAAATAATCATAAATTTAAACATACATTTTCATAACGGTTTTCTTAACATCTGATGCCTCACTTAACAAAACATTCCTACACAGAATAAAGTGTTTTTCTCTGAATGAAAAAAAAATTGTGATTACATATTTTTACAGGCTGGCTGACTTGATGAGGTTGTACTCTAACATCGATAAAAACATAAAATAAATAATTTGTCTACACTGTTAACAAATTATGGGTTAAATTTAACTTACAAGACTAAAATTTGTCTCTGTAGATGAAAAATGCAATATCAACACTGTAAAATAATTAATTTAGAAAACAGTTTTTGTAATTTCAACTTTCAAGTTTCAACTTGTCAGAAAATACCCAAAATTAGAGAGATCTGTACTCTCACTAGCGTAACAAAAATAATCTAGAACAAGTTAACATTAGAAAATAGTAACAATTTTCAAAAGCGTATTAGCACATTATTAACTATATCACCAGTATAATTTACAAAACTGTGCTCCTGTATTATATTTTACAGATTCTCTACAACCTTTGTATTGTATCCGCTTGCCTGAATTTCATGAATACCATTTGATAACTTCATCAAACTAATTTCTCTAGCAGCATGAAATGGAGAACTCACCGAACGATGCTTTCACTGCCAGATCAATCAAGAACAAGCCAGTAAAAAACCACATCATCTCCCAGAAGGACTTGATGCAGTTAGTGTCTGTAGAAATAATAAAGCTTGAGCAAATACCTGAAGTGGAAGAAGTCTGGCAAGGATAATGGTTTTATACCGTAAAAGTCTCACGAAGAGACAGTTGCATGAAATAGCTAGATGACCAAGTAAAGACTGGCTTGAATAATATTGGTTCATAAGAAATTTTTTTGTGATGGGCATCATTCGGTTAACCATACACTTGTATCAAAATGGAATACAGAAAGTGTTGATAAATCATGTCAACTATGAACCCTCCAACTGGCATTTTGTAGAATCTGTAGTGGCAAGGAAATTTTTGTGATTTCACAGAAATAATTTTGAAAATTAGTATAAATTCAACCATATTCTTGGATTGTGCATAATATAACAAAGAATTAAAAAATTGTAAAACTATAAATATTTATAAAGTAGTTTTCAAAGAAAAGTAAAAAGGAAAACTTTGTTTTATGAACAGGAAATTATTTATGTGAAATCCAAGAAAATACAAAAATAAAACAACCCTGGTAGGCCTAAACGGATTTTGCAGTACCAAATGAATTTCGCAAAAAAATCTACAATAAGAAATCTGAGCTACACAATTTAGTGGAGGCTATGCCATTCGAAAATGTAATTTTCCTAGGGATAGCCTATAAGGTGCAACACTTTGCTTGACATTTTTGTTCAGTAGTGTGCTCAATTACATTTATCGGTTTGTGATGTAAAGTAAAACTTATCTTTCAATTTGTATACAAATTATTTAATTTTACAATGGTTTTCAACCATTTATTTGGAGTTATAAAACCAACTTAATCACGGCCATTAATAGTCTGCCACTACAGACACCAACTACTGCAACTTTTATAGTCACTCTGCCAGTTAACGAGTTTAAAGCTTAAACACAGCACTCGGGGAAGCTCAATTACCACAATAGCAAATTTGGCAGTACAATGCATCTTATTGCTACACTTAATATTTACACATCTAGTCATCACAGCTCTTAGACTAAGTTGTATAACTAAGAAGTCAGTCGTTTGGGTTTATAGGTACCAAACGTAAAATGTACACAGAAAAATTAAATTTTTTACAATAGAACTAATGAAATAATACAATAAAGAAATAATAATAAAAATAAATACATTGCACACATTTTCAAAGAAGCAAATCTATAAAATAGGGTTCCAAACTCACTTGAATGGTTTGAATGATTTATATTGTAAATCCCCATAAAGTGTGGTTTACCTACCACATTCAGTTTACAATATGAATAAAAGCATATTTGAAATTCATTGTTCGTTTTTGTCTGCGGTTTGGAGTGTGATTGCAGTTAAAAATTTCCCTCAAGTTAATCAGCTTACAATTCACACCTAAAAAACATTGTAAAGCTTGTTTGTCAGCAGCACCTTTGAAAGAAAGCCCATTCTATAAATTAATCTAAGCCTAAAGCCCTAAAGGAATTTATATTTTTAATTACTATTTGTACCGGTGCTAGGTTATAAACTTAAAAATAACTTCTCAATCATAAAAATCTGTTAAGCAGAACAAAAGAAAAAGAGATATTACAGCAAAAACACTTATCACATTTATTTGATAGATGATCCAGCAGAGAGGCAAAGTCGAGGAAGGGAACAGTTGGAGCACGTGCAGGTAAATCAATATCGGCTCGATACTTATCATCGTGACGCAAAAATACTAACAAACAGAATAACAAACCTCAGTAAGGTTAAAACTATTACATTTCCTAAATTAACATTATTTTAATACAAAAATATAAGCCTAATGGTTATAGCGAACAAACACAGGCAACAATATAAAAATTTGTTTAAGTTCAAGGTTAATTTTGCAGTAAAGACACACTTCGATCTAAAACATAGCAAATCAAGCTAATGCATATATTTCTGTTGAAATTTGAATTGTTGAAACATAAAAAATTGTTAACAAACATTAGAACACGTTAGATTTTTCTAAATTATAGCTTGAGAAACAATTACTCTCATTGATATCAGCTGTTATCAAAAATAGCTATTTCTGTACAGAGTGATGACAAGGTAATTTCTTAGGACTTTGCCTCCTCCTAGCTTTTGATTTGGATGCTGCGGACCAACTAACTTTATAATGGTTTAAATGTGAATTGAATTGTAATTCAACAGCTGATTACCTTCAGTTAAATTTCCAACCATAGATTGTTACAAGATTCAAATGAGTATATTAGTTTGAAGAGTTTGAAAGTGTTTGAAGAGTGGTTAGCTTTGAATGGGCTAATCTTAATGGTATGGATCAATAATCAACATATTTTAAGTGTTATAAATTAGAAGTGTTATTAATCAGACAAATGTTTAAAAACCCGTTTGTGTGATTTTCTTCTCATTCAGTTGTGGCATCTATAACTCGCATCCACTGCAGTACTACTTTTGAGGCCGCTGCCTTTGCTAGCTTCTTTTGAGAAGCTGTTTTGTAGGTTATAAATCTATAGTCAATTATATTCATGCCAAATCTAAATCCTTTGTTTGTGGGAAGCAGCAAATAAGTTGGTAATCCCCAGTTCTGTTGAATACAAATTTCGTGAAGGATTTGCACTGGCGAATATCCATTACGGATCTTGCACTGATTGAGTTCAACTGCAAAATCAAACATAAGGTTTTTTTTTTAAACAAAAACAAATAACAATAAATCTAGCGATTGTATGAAAATTACAATACATCTATTTATACTATAATAAAATTGAGGTAGTGACTGTCTGTCTGTCTGTCTATCTATCTGTGCGGCTGTCACGACTAATTAACTAAATCGATACAGCCAAAATTGAGCACAAAGATGGTCCACATATCTAGGAATGTCATAGGCCTATTAATTTCCCTGAGTTCCTTGGATGTCCATAGTTTTGAGGTGAGGTTTTCAAAAGTAAATATTAATTGGTCTCCATGGAAGCATGAAAAATGTCATACCTTTGCGTAAACAACCAAAACTGCCAAATGCTCATTTCACATTTTCAGATAGCTGATCCAAAGAAATTAATAGCTATTTACTTTATAAGAGAGTTTTTACATCACGCAGGTGAATGTTGTGCAAGTGGAAGCGAGTGGCATAATTCACCTAAGTGATGTAAACACGCTCTTGCGTAACGTGTAACGTACAAGATTTTACCACTCACTTCCGCTTGTTGCACAACATTCATCTGCGTGAAGTAAAAACGCTCTTACTACACTTGTAAGGTAAATAGCTATTACAACTATGAAGTAGGATTATTTAATATTATACTTTATGATAGATTATTTATTCAAATCTATTTCAATGATTATGAAACTGTTTTTTTTTCTTGTTGCGAAGCACAACTTCAGCAGCTAGTTTTAATTGTTAATTGTTGTTGTAGTTGTAACTGTTTTAATTTTAGCTGTAAAAAAGTAATTTGTTTATTAAAATATAAATTTTTATTCAGCTCACTGCTCACCTATTGAATCCGAACCACATTTTTGCCTTGGTATTAACGAATTGGTCTAATTATCATGATAGTACTGCGGATAGTTGTAGTACTCACTAGAGCGGACGTTAATCCACAGTTTGTGACCTCCTAGTAGCTGGATTATAGGACGACGCCACCACCAGTTATTTGTCAAAAGAATATTTATTTGTGTTACAGTAGACTCCCTCTTATCCGGACACCTTTTAACCGGACATCGGTTTAACCGGACTTCACTCGGCAGAAATGACATCTCTTTAACCGGAAAATTTTTAACAACACATTGGTTTAACCGGACTAGATCGGCAGGAAGTGGGCAGTACTGAAACAACTGTTCTCGTGGGAAAGATTTGAGACCAGTGATCACGTGTCTAAATACAATGCACTCCTAAATTTAAGTCGAATATCACAGTAAACAGTCCGTTTTAACGCTTTTTTGGGGACGTCGGTTTAACCGGTAAACCCGTTATCCGGACTGGCCTTGGTCCCGAGGAGTCCGGATAAGAGGGAGTCTACTGTATTGGTCTATTTAAGATAGCAAAATTATAAAGAATAAACATAGCAAAAATTACAGGAAGTATAACCATACTTACTGTCTTCTGCTGGCAAGTAAAATGGATGTTGCATGTCTCCACACGGCCTTTTGTGGGTTACATCTTTATCTTCTTTGTTGTACACTTCGAGTTCCAGCTCGTCCCGTATATTGACTGTTGCATCGTCAGGAGATGAGGCTTTTTTTGCCAAAGAACTCTTGAGACATCGAAGCTCTTCTTTGAACGAAGTAGTAACAACTGCTTCTCTTGTCATCACACTGTTGCCCCTACGAAATTCTTGAACGGTTTTATGCCTCATAACAGTTTGTCGGGAGGTAGAGGAAGGTTTATTACTGTATGGTAATTTTGGTGTGCTAGATCTGTAACTTGACCCATATTTTCTTCTGGAGACAGAGGAAGATGAAGAGGCACTAGAATTTGTTGAGCTTGCAGAAGAGGATCGGGAGCGCCTTCTGCTTCTATCTGTGCTATATTTCCTCCTCAGTGGGGATCTTGAACGAGAACTAGACCTTTTATTTGAGCGGAAACTCCTTTTATCAGTCTTGCGACTTCTTTCTCTTGATGGAGATCGTGATGAATTATGAGGTCTGTATTGTTTTGGGTAGTATGTTTTATTTCGTGGTAGAAGTGATTTTTTATTCATACTAGGTGTTTTGGAACGTGATCTGGATATAGGCTGGTACCTAGATCTTGAACGGGATCTAGATCTTGAACGGGATCTAGATCTTGAACGGGATCTAGATCTTGAACGGGATCTAGATCTTGAACGGGATCTAGATCTTGAACGTGACTTAGATCTTGAACGTGACTTAGATCTTGAACGTGACTTAGATCTTGAACGTGACTTAGATCTTGAACGGGGCTTAATTTGTGAACGTGACCTAGATCGGGAACTCCTTGATGAGTATGAAGTTTTTCTCTTTCTATTTGACTTTTCTTTTGATTTCTTTTTCAATTTCTTTTTAGAGGATTTCTTCCTCTTTTTACATTCAGTTAACATTTTTGATACCTTGACCAGATTCCTTGACATCTCCAAATTATGTTTGACGAACTTTTCATGTATCCTTATGAAATCAAATTGAGGTATCTGTAAAAAGACACATTATTGTTCATTAAATGCTTTTCAAACCTGATGCAGATTAAAGTAATAATTGGTTATGCAAGAACATTCATATGAATTCAGAAAATGAGAATAAGGGATACAAAGGATAGCATAAGCAGGCTTACCTTAAGAAATGTAGGCATCCCACTTCACTACAGTAACACAGAAGAAAAGACAAGAGAAATTGATTGGATATTTCGAGGCCACTGGCCCGTTTCTCAACCTGGTTGAGGTTGAGGTTGAGAAACGGGCCAGTAGCCTCGAAATAACCAATTTCTCTTGTGTTTTCTTCTGCGTTACTGTAGTGAGAATGAGATTTATTTGCCAGTTAATATTCCATACAAATACATTGGCACGTCAAATTAGTCATAACATTAATTAAAATCTAGTGGAGTCAGTGTTCTTGACATATAATCTTCTATAGAGTATAATGGCTGATTACAAAGAAAGTTATTTATTTTAATCTTGAAATCTTTATCACTAAGTAATCTTATGGGTATTGGTAACTTGTTATAAAATTTACTGCTTCAAATTAATGGTTTTTTATCAGTTTTAGCAAGTCTAACATAAGGAAGATTTATATTAAATGTATGACGAGTATTATGGCAGTGTATATCTCTCCTACAATCTAACTTATCTAATTGTGGTCTTAAATATAACAGGCATTGCTTAATAAATAGAGAAAACAGTGTTAATATTTGGTATTCTTTAAAACATTCAGTGCAATCATGGTGCCTATCTACAGCAGATATTACCCTAATTGCCCTTTGCTGCAAATTGAAAATTTCTTTTGCATGAGCAGAAGACCCCAAAACAAGTAACCCATAGCTTAAATGGCTATGAAAAAGTCCATAGTATGCCTGTATGAGAGAAGGCCGTTCTAGTTCGCCACATAATTGTTTAAGAGCAAATATACTTGAACTCAGTTTATTTTTTAAAACTATAACATGGTCATGCCAGGTCAAAGTAGAATCAAAAGTTAATCCTAAAAATTTTGAATTTCTCTCATCCATTGGCGTACTATGTACTTCACGAAGGTTAAACAAAACAGTTTTTTTCTATCATTATTCAGAACAAGATTATTAGAAATTAACCAATTTTCAGCCAGCTTTAGATTATGCATAGAGTCAACCAAAAGTTGTTAGTGAAGTGGGATGCCTACATTTATTAAGGTAGGCCTGCTTATCCTTTGTCTCCATTATTCTCAGGCAATAAGCCCTTTCTATTCAAACCAAACCTAATTCAGACAAATGGTTATAGTTAGGTTTTTCTCATATTTCTTCTATGAAGTTGTGTACATAAACAAAAACAATGTCTTCTAGCCACTGTATCAACTGCCCATAGCACTGGACCATAAAGTAAATGATACAGTAAAAATGTTAACTGCAGTTTTTAACACTTATTATTTTTTATTATTAATTTTATAATTGCAGGGTTCTACTGTACTAAGAGGATTATAGTTACCACTAGCCAACCTGTGCGATTTCGCATGAAATAGGCTAAGATTGAACTTTCTGTTTGTATGAACGAATACATTCAGTTTGTAAAGTAGCTTAATCAAAATTAGGTAAGTTATTTATTTATAGAGGGGTCAATCAATAGGGGTTGCTATTTGAAAAAAATAAGTCACCCCCTACCCCCATCCCTGTTTGTGGGGTTGTAATTTTTTTTATGTAAAAGATTGCGGTACCTTTATTTACAATCAATGACATAACAAAATATTTATAGGCTATCTATTTCAGTTTTAAAAATACAGATTTGTTTCCATACTTAATTTACACACTGTATAGGCCTACTGTGAGCTATTATTTATTTTACTTCAAACGGAAGCAAAAGGCCACAGTGTAAATTAATATGGCCGTTTTAAAATTATTAACAAAGGGATTCCACACTTATTTGAAATGGCTAAGAGTAAAAATCATAAAATACCATGATTGGCTTGGACAAATCCCAAAATCCCGAGATAAGATTAAACCTTTGTGATTGAGACCCATAAACAAAAATCAGCGATTTTGTATAACACAAAATGTTATTAACAACAAATGGCAAGCATACACTTATACAATACAGTAACAGTCGACTGTTCTCATAATTTCAACAAGAGATCTGTTGTCTGTCAGTGTGATTTAACCCTCTGTAGCTATCTCGTAAATATAATTTACTTTGATAAAAGTTTGTTTGCTTTCTCACCCCCTATAATAATGAAAAGTCTAAATTAAATCTTTAAATACCTCTGCTGAATTCGGTGCTGCTTTGAGCGAAACCACATCACTAGTAGATACCACTCCAGTTTTTACGGTTGACTGAGGAACATCATTGACATCATCACTGACCTCCCCACTGTCTAAATCTATTGTAGAATTAGTCTGCTCCTGAAAATAAATTTACAAAACAAATTGAACAGCTGGTGTATCTTCAAAGTTTTAAATGTAATTAAATACAGTCCTTTAATTGATGTTCCTGCCCTTAGTAGAGGGCTTATCGAAAAACTGATGTTTCGGGCAAATTTCACAGCAAGACCTTTAATTCAAGTATGCGATTGATAGGTGTGTGGCTTATGGTTTCCTCAAAAGTTCAAATCCATCCTAGCTTTATATATAAACTAGCAGAGTACCAGTCCTTCGTACGGGGTTGGAATATAAGTATAAAATGCTTATTGCAGTAGTTATACTCAAGCTTTGCGTTTGCAATAAGGGAGGACACAGTTTGGTAAAACTTGCTTTTTTTAAATTTACAGTATTCTATAGTATTACACATCTACCATAACCATAATGTTCTACCACTTCACCTAAACAATAAAGAAATATAAATTATCAACAATTCGCAAAATATCACTAATTATTCATGAAATGAAAAACATAAACATAACTGTAAACAATCCTACTTTGACAGTTCTCATTGCGAATCACAGTTTTTTGTTACTGCTTAGTTCAAATTAGCTGTTTTCATAAATGCAAAAAAAATATAGTGCTGCACCCTGTTGGTAAATCTTATAACTTTTTAATGCTTTTCCATATCATAGAACCAACTTTTTTAGGTGAAACAGCTGAATAAATTCTTTAATTCCCTTTAAATATGAATACTCATAAGGTTAACATGGGGAATTACAGAGCCACTGGGGCGGAGCCCGAAACATTTTTGAGATAAGAATATGCCTATATGTTAATCGGGAATGTAAGCTATCGTCATGCCAAATTTCAGCCCAATCCGTCCAGTGGTTTATGCGAGATTGAACTTCACACAAACAAACAAACAAACACACAAACTTTCACATTTATAATATTAGTAAGATAAGATAAGGAAAAAACTCAGCATAACAGTGCTTGTCATACTGCAGCAAAAACAGCCGTTTGTAATGCATACGTTGCGGGTCGAAAGTTGTGTTTTTACTCTCTAGGGAGTAAAAATCAGCTGTTGTAAACAGTTGTAAATTTTGATTGTGGCAATCGTATCGATCAAAACTATTTATCGATTGATTTATTAGACAAAGTTTTAGCCTATTGTTGTAGATTGCTCGACATATCGATGGTATGATAACACAACTGTAATGGACGAAATAATTTAATCACTTACTAAACAGCTGCTTATTTGCATTAGTAGAATAATTAAAAACAAGCTGGAAGTCGTTTTGAGGGAATCTTTACATAAAAATTATTTTGTTTTCTAGCTTTGTTTCTGTTTATTTAATGATGCAATAAGACTAAAAAAATATATATAAGATAGTTCACCACATGGGCAAAAAGTGACTTTTCAACCCTTGTCCATTTTCAAGGTAAAACTTGACCTCAGGCGAAAAAGAGTCACTTTTGGCCCTAGTAATGAAATATATTATTTTAATACAATGTAAACCAGACAATATCTGTGGTCTTTGGATAACTCAAAGTAATCAACAGTTTTGATTTTTGTCAAATATTGTTAGTACAAAATTTGATTGTACTACCAATTGGGCGCAACTATTGTTGTACACATTACCTTAAAAATTAGTTTTTTACCCTTATTGGTGAAAGGATTAATTCTTAAATTTAGTATTGTTAGAATTGTGATTAATTGTATAAATAAAACATTACCACAGGTACTATTTATTTCTGTAGTTTTATTTATCTTTTTTTTATCATTTTAAATGGCCACATTAAAAAATGGCCACTTTAAAACTAAAAATGATGAAAAAATGCTTCCTCAAAACAAGTTTTTGCACTATACAATTTACTAAAAAAAAATATCTTCAAATAAAAATGGTTTAGAGAAAAATAGGAAATGGTGGCTCTACGGTTGGGTACTTCTGAGTTTTGGAAATTTTTAACATGATATTTTAGTTTGTCTTTGGTCCAATACCTTAAAAGGCAGATAGAGAGTTCAGGAACTTCATGTATTTTAATGTTTTATATATATATATATATATATATATATATATGTGTGTTATTAAGTACGGTATAAAAACTAATAAAAGAATTTTGATAGCTATAACGTACCTCAGTATTCAACTCTGTTAACACAGTTTGACTCGTTGACTGGTGGATTTCAATAGTTTGTGTCGTGATTTTTGTAGCTCTTGAATCAAAACTATCTTTTTCTTTTTTTAAAGGTAGCGGTATCTTTGATACTGAATTTAGAAAGGCCATGTCACTAGACACCACTTCTTTTTTCACTTCAATGACATCATCATCACTGATATCCATATCTTCTACAACCATTGTATCATTGGTCTGCTTCTGTAAACAAATTTGTAAACAGATTTAGTATTAAGGTTCAGCTATACATATCCGTCACATCACATAACCTCACGTCACGGCACGTCCAGCTATATATATCCGTCACGTCACGTCACATCCCGTCGCAAAAAAAAGCGCACACAATACGCCATTCCTGCAACTGGCTCAGTTTGAATACACCTATACCTAATATGTATAACATATAAGAAACATAACAGCGTCAAATAGAAAGACAATTTTTTTTTAACAAAAACTAAGACAAAATAATGTATTGAATGAAAATTAACCAAAAACAGTGCACTCAAATTAATAACATAAAGAATAATACAAATCTATAATATTCCCCCCTCACACTTTTTAAATAATGAATGACTATTAACTAATAATAGCGTTAACTAATAATCATTTTGACAGTTAGTATGTAAGTGTCATGCACATTAGACATTTTCGCCCAGACCTTCTGTTGATGTCTTTTCTAGTAGTTCTGGCCGAATCGACTCCGCTGGACGTTACTGGGGGGCTATAAATCTCCGTCGTGTCGCGTCACGGTATGCTCCCAGAGCACTCAACATATTCCAACACATTCCGTGAAAGAAATGTATAGCCGCTTACATTTGATTACACAGGGAGCATACCCGTCAAAAATGGACACAACATGACGTGACGGATATATATAGCTCTACCTTTAAAACTCAAAATTAGTTACTCGAGTAGTAACTCAAATTGAATTATTTAATTTAGGGTACAGCGTCAAATATACTAAGGAGTCATTAAATAGCAATAAGCAGTTTTTACAATATATCATATAAGTAAATAATTTTATTTTATACTTAAGTGTCCAGTTGTCGAAAACTCTGGTATTGTTTCCTAGAAAGGCACACTTACTCTTGAAACTACTAAAAATATAACTACTAAAAAATAAATAAATAAACCCAGAGTACACTCTGTTTGTGGCACCTACAAAGGGTAAAACAAAAACCAAAATACATTGAAATATTTTTTAAATCCATTATAAATTTTTAAGAAAATTAAACAGATAGCAATAGATGTGTTTTTACCTCATTATTCAATTTGGTTGACAAAATTTGTCTAGTTGACTGGTTGAGTTCAATATTTTGTCTCATTTTTGAAGGCATTTCTTCTGTAGGTATTGAACCAGAGCTGACTTTTTCTTCTTTTATGGGTGGCAATATCTGATTTAAAAAAATTGTGATCCAGTATAAGACAGAAGGATGAATACACTATTAATAACATAGTCCTACTTAGAAATAAAGAAATATATACAGTATATATAGCGGTTAGGGCAGGATTTACAAAGAGGATTTATGTTGAGGGTCCTGGGCTTATAGTTGGGGGTATAAAATAAGCCCCCACAATAAGAGGGGGTTCGGTGGTCTTCCCCAGCAAAGTTTTAAAATAGGTACAAAAGGCAGATTTTGAGGGCATTTTTTCTAAACATTCTGTATTGTCTGGGCTGAATATCATAATACTTTGTTAGATATAAGCTAATGTATGTATTAGTATGAAAATTGAAGACATTAGATAGCTTTCAAGTCGTTAATTTATAGCTCAGTTTATTTTAGATCAAGTCAAGTCAATCATTTTTCACATGACGTTGTTACAGATATCAGCCAAGCTGGAAAACAGATGAAATGGTCATGGACAATAAAATAATACATGACAACTATAATTAGCGACAAAAGTAAATATGACACTTCACATTGGGAAGCCAAAAGAGAAGAATAAATCAATATTTAATATTTTAAACAGTCTTGTATCAGGTATGGTATGGTGGGGTGGGAACGTATAGGAATGGCATTCAAATTCAAATATATTTATTGTGAAAATTACAACAGCTTGGCCTCACCAAGTTTAAAAAACTTGTCACTGAGGTCCAATTGATGCATAAGGCTAACAAACAAATAGTTTAAAATTTTTTTCCTTTTTTTAGAACAAAGTTTTCTTAATATACTGTATTTAAAATAGCTATACAACTTCTGCTATGGCGGCCAAATCAAAAACGTCTCACAGCGAAAATAAATAAATAAACCCAGAGGTACACTCTGTTTGTGGCACCTACAAAGGGTAAAACAAAAACCAAAATACATTGAAATATTTTTTAAATCCATTATAAATTTTTAAGAAAATTAAACAGATAGCAATAGATGTGTTTTTACCTCATTATTCAATTTGGTTGACAAAATTTGTCTAGTTGACTGGTTGAGTTCAATATTTTGTCTCATTTTTGAAGGCATTTCTTCTGTAGGTATTGAACCAGAGCTGTCTTTTTCTTCTTTTATGGGTGGCGATATCTGATTTAAAAAAATTGTGATCCAGTATAAGACAGAAGGATGAATACACTATTAATAACATAGTCCTACTTAGAAATAAAGAAATATATATACAGTATATATAGGGGTTAGGGCAGGATTTACAAAGAGGATTTATGTTGAGGGTCCTGGGCTTGTCGGTGAGATCCAATTGATGCATAAGGCTAACAAACAAATAGTTTACATTTTTTTCCTTTTTTAGAACAAATTTTTCTTAATACAGTAGACTTCCTCTTATCCGGACTCCTCGGGACCGAGGCCAGTCCGGATAACGGGTTTTCCGGTTAAAAAGACGTCCCCAAAAACTCATTTAAACGGACTGTTTACTGTGATATTCGACTTAAATTTAGGAGAGCATTGTATTTAGACACGTGATCACTGGTCTCAAATCTTTCCCACGAGAACAGTCGTTTCAGTACTGCCCACTTCCTGCTGATCAAGTCCGGTTAAACCAATGTGCTGATAAAAATTGTCCGGTTAAACAGATGTCATTTCCGCCGAGTGTAGTCCGGTTAATCCGATGTCCGGTTAAAAGGTATCCGGATAAGAGAGAGTCTACTGTATACTATATTTCTACGGCGGTTTGTGGCAGGCACTTTAACTTAAAACAAATTAGGCATTCTTTGGCTTTTACTAAGAATCTTATATAGTAGGCTAAGTTAATATGTGAACTGTGTTTTTCCAAGTTACAACTTAAAAATGACTGTGTGGGTTTAAACAATTTAAAATAGCTATACAACTTCTGCTATGGCGGCCAAATCAAAAACGTCTCACAGCGAACATCCTCCACAGTTTGTTGTGGAAGCATTGCAAGCAATCGTCCACTGCGATCGGCAAAATCATATACAACTCCCACTATTGCGGTAAAAGGTATTCGTAGTTACTACAGTGCCAAAACAGTTTTGTAGCTATAGATAAAGAGTTAAATAATAATTAAACCATTCCAATGTTTTTTTTTGTTACTTTTGAAAATTGAAGCACTCTTTTATAGGACTATATGCCTTATTTTAGGCGAGTTGGTAATTGTAACACCCAGGCCAAAAGCATTATGACCTTTTTAATGTTCTTACTTTTTTTTGTTGAATGCATTTTATTCTTACCTTTTCTTGTGTTGAAGTAGATTCATAAGTTATTACGTTTGAGATTTTAAGACTCATGTCTTGACTTGAAATTTCAATCCTACCATCACTAGTATCTGACTTCACTTCAACGGCTTTGTTCTCACAAGTCCCATTGTCTACTCCTATAGCTTCTTCATACTTAAAATAAATAAAAGGAAAATCATGCACTAAAATCACAATTTTGCAGAGCATAGTTCAACAAACGTCTCATAAAATTGACTTGTAAGAATAAAAGTGTGATGTCCTTCCTTTCAGTGATTTTCCCATAGAAGAAAAAAGCTAATACCTAGGTCACATGGTAAGACCTGGATCTGAAATATATTTTTATTTTATTTTTATTTTTATGTCCCTAGAGGATAAAAATACTAACCATTCAAAATCATATAAATATATTAGTTTTGAATTCAACAAATTAAAAAATTGACAAAGTAGATTAAATCAATAAAAAAAAAAAACAAAAGCCTAAGATATAAATAAAACAATACCTACCTCTTCTTTAATTTCATGGTACTCATATTCTTGGGAGGCCGGAGACAATGGTTCATTCTGAAAAATTGCATCAAAAATCAAAGAAAAGCTATGAATAATCAAAACTAAGACTAATTTAACTAAAGCTAAAGCTAAAGCTTTGGCTATAAAGCTTAATGTAAGGTCACTGTTACAAACCCAGCTGAGTAGCTGAGTGGTTACATCTTAGTGCTTGCCTCGTCAACAGAATGCCACTAGTTCGATCCTGAGGAAAGTCAAGTACAGTAGAATCTCAATAATCCGGGGGAATGGGGGGGGAGGGAGACCCTGGATAACTGAAAACCACTTATCCGACATGACATAAACATATATTACAAACCCATAAAAACGCCTAATACTGCATAAACGTATGTGAATGTAATGCAGAATCATAATATGTCAAGTCATTAACCTTGGTTCAGCAATAAAAACTGTACCGTTTAAAATCGCTGCTTACTCAAAATTACTCAAACAAATAAATTTCCAAACACTGTACAGCAATAAATCATATAAAGAACAGAACAATAGAAAGTCTAATAAGCTAATGCTTGTCACATAGGCTAGTACAAAATGCTGTTTCAGGGCAGAAGAATGTAGATAAAACAAAAAAAGTATTAAATTGTAGTACATAAATACAATAACAAGTCGTAAAATAAGATAGAGATAACAATGATTTAAAACATCACTTTTTCTTTATCTTTGTTCTATTATCTTTCTTGGGGTTCTCTCCATTCACAGGCTACTAAAGTTGCAACTGTTTATCTCCCAATCACAGGCTACTAAAGTCGTCATGGTTCCTAATCACACAATCTCAAACTGTTGTGACAAAGCACGTGCACAGCAGACAGGTGTAAAGAGCAGACGATTGTAAGTGGAAGCGAATAGTTTGATCTTGAAGCCCTAAAGCTATTGATCAATACTTCTTTGTTTTGCTTCCATTCTATTTTTGTCAAATGAACTGCAATGTTTAAAAACCAATAATGAGGGAACGTACTCTATGTAAATAATGGTCAGAAATATATAAATATAGAATTCATTTCATATAAGACTAAATAAACACAATTTAATTTTGTTTAGCGAATTTCCCATATAGGGAATAAGCTATTACCGTAGTACTCACGGTAAGACCTGGACCCGGGACCGATTTACTTTTTCGTTTTGAGGTCCCTAGAGACCAAAAACACCATCCGTTTAAATTCATATATACAGGGTTAGTAAAAAGTGTGGAGACCCCCTGTTATTTTTTTAACGGCCCATACTAGAAAAACTTAACTCGGCACACCTTTATGGCATGTTATGAAGTACTTTTTGGGCATAACCGCCACTTGGTGTACGTTTATTCAAATGAGTTTGCGAACCAGCATGATCGGACTATGGGAACAGGGGTTTATGGGGGTTTTATGGGGCAAAAATTGGTTTTTCCCATTTTTGACCCTAAAAACTTAAAATTTTGCATTTTCTTTCCAAACCATTTTGAAGAGCTTAAAAAAACAAATAATTTAGTATATTGAAGCGTTATTATGCGCCTAATGGTTACAGAGAAAATTCCAAAAAACTGTAAATTTAAAATTCCCATGTTATTCTTATGGAGAATAAGAAAACTGTTGTAGTTTGCTTGTTTATGATCATATTTTGATCAAATTTGGAAAATGCATTCATTTCATACTAAACTACTAACATTTTACAAAAAACACCTTTTTACCCTCCCTGTTGTAGCAAACCTAAGTACTCGTTAAACTAATGTTATTTAAATAGGGAATAAATGTGATATTTTTAAAGAGACATTTTAGTGTAAATCCAATCAGGCAAATGGAAATTCGCTTAGTCTGCAGGTTTTCTGCGGCGGGGGTATTAGGTATTTTTCATGGATCATGAGGTTATTCAACATAGTTTTAGAAGCATCTACTGACCACTACTCGGTTGATCTGCTGCCCGGTTGTTCCGCCCCTGGGTTATCGAGATCTACTGAAGTTTTTATATGGTTTAAAACTGAGCCCAGCTGTCCTAAACCACTGGGCTTTAAATAAATGATTCTGACTGATGAAACCGCTGGTCTTAGTAAAATCACAAAGATGGTCTCACTTGATTTTAAATTCATTTTTAGCTTAAAATATTCGGACTCAAGTGTGCATTGCTCTAGTCTTAAGCCAGTGAGCCAGAGTCCTAGTAGAGTTTCAAAATACAAATATGCTTATGTTTATCGGCAGTGTATTGGCTATATTTCTGCACAATTTAAGCTCAATTGGTCCAGATGTTTGACCGTAGCACCGTGACATACTCTCCAACATCTAAACTTTAGCATTTATAATTAGTAGCATAAGATAAGCTTATTATGCTTAGCAAAATATTTAATAACAAAATAAATATGAAAAAAACATGATAAGATTACCTCAGGATCATAGTCTGATTTCCCAGCTTCATAAGTTGAAGGGGGAAGTTCAATAATTTGTTGCTCGTTTCCTGGAGCAATATCTTCCTTAGGGCTTGAATCAAACTTTTCTTCTTTTTTTATTATAGGAGGCGGTACCTGGTTAGCAAAAAAAGTGTGAAGACATGTAAAATACTATTAATGACATAGACTCTGTATTAGAAATTAAAATAATAACTTGGAAGTCCTTTCTAAGACTCCAGCCGCATACAACAGCAAAACAGTTGTGTCCCTCTCCGACAAGCCCGTCTGGCTAACAAGTCGTGGTAGAGAAACATTGCTGCTTACATACTAGTGAGACTTCGGGAACAAAAGAAGCTGCATGGAACACAGTCACCAAGTGTTTTTTTTCTTTTTTTTCACTTCCGATATTGACTTTTTAGTTGTATATTGTTAAAATGCCTGTTGATGCTTCTGACAATGGTAAAAACAACAAAAACTAACTTGTATAAATGTCTACAGATTTGGGAGGGAGTAGGTGTTTTGTTAAATAATTCAGTGTCTATTTATTCAGCATCTAAATATATTTTGTATCAAGCTCTTAAATTAATTGGTTTTTATTGTAATTTTTAATGGGATCCTGTTGCTTTACTTGATAAACGGTATTTCTTTCCATATTACTTGTATTCTCAATATTTGACTAGATTACAAGCAATTAGCTTGTATTTTACAAATTATCAATAAATGAATTAGTCTTCATCAGTTTCTACTTACAATTTGGGAAAAGATTGTGGCAATAGATAGCCTTGGTGTCACATTTTCTTCTTCTATCTGCAGAGCCAGATCCTTCTACAAAAGACATAATATAAGAATGTTGATCAAGGATTAAGAAAACTAGATAGCATTTTACTCAAAACCCAGAATAATACATTTAGTCATTAATACTAAATTTGGAAATTGGAGAATATAGCCAATAAAAACTATAAGCAAAGAACACTGTTCTCCATGCTTATTTAATTATTCAAAATATATTAAAACTTAAATCTGTTAAGTTATATGCAAAAATTCATTACACAAATTGAACCCTGCACACATTAATAAGGGAACCCTTAGCAAGATGTGCAAAGATTTGCAAGCTTCTTTCCAAGGCAAAACAATAATGCAATACCCCTGTACCTTAAGGATTATCTAGATATAGGTTCAGTAGGCCTACTTAATACAATAAGAGTTTTCTCTGCAAAAATTTTTTTCAGCTGCAGCATTCGTCTTTTTCAAGAGACAAAACAGTATAAATAAAATGGACAATTTGGTAAATAATGATAACGGTCCAATTCAAAATGTTACATTACTAAATTCTAAATTTACAAAGTTATAAGTTAATTCTACTTGATATTTCATTTTTATACATATATGATTTATTTTTGTAACTTTAGCTAAATGTACTTAACAGAATAGTTTTTATTTTTAACTACCCATATGTTATATTCTTTAAAATTTATAATTATAAACATAACCTTCAGTTTTGTGATGTGTCTGATGATGCCAGCATAGCTGGCGAAAGGCCTCATAAAAATTAAAAATTCAGATATATTGGCGAATTTATTATTTCAAATTAGTATTAATTCCAATATAAACAGTTCTTCTTGAAGAAAATTTAATTTATTATAAATTAATAGTTTTATTTACTTAATAACTGTGTCAAACAAACATATTCTTTGAAATGTAAGAGGGTGTTGTATTGGATTCATTTTGCCTTTGAAACAAATTTTGAACGCTAATAAGATACCTACACAATTTGCACACGGGTCCCCTCGTATTTGTTTGAAACAGTTATTAAGTGAATGAAACTACTAATGTATAATAAACTTTATTTTTTAGTTGTAGATCTACACGATCAAGAGTGATTTGCCTATTACAATCATCACTAAAAATTGCCTAGGCCATTCAAAATGCATTTTCATAAACTGTATCGTCTCTTGATTATTACATATATCTGACTGCGGTTAATATTTAACTGGAGGATCAGCTGATATTAAGGCTGTGGTTCCTTAGACGCGTAATAGATGCGCTGCGTTTGCGCATCTAAGACGCAGCACACTTGTCTTATGGAGTTTCGTGTAAGCGGTTTCCAAGGCTGCGTATCTAATGCGCGCGCACCAATAGCTGCGTATTTCACCGACTTCTCTTAGAGCAGTCAAATCTGAGTTACGCTGCGTTTAGACATGTCTTGTGCAATGGATTCGGAAGTAAATGATGTCCAGATGGCAAAATTCCCCAACAACAACGAAAAATCGATTGAATTTCTCTCTTGAAATGACATATTATCGAAGTAGAGTACGTTGTTCACACAATTAAAATGTTAATAGTATTACACTTCATATCATTCGTTAGGTAGTGTTAATTTCCCCATAATGTGTAATTTTAATAATTAATTCCCTTATTAAGTTCCCTGCAATTAATTTGTCCTGACATATTTTTAATTTGTCAGTAAACCTAATGTTGACAAATATTCTTTTCAAGCCAGCACAAAACAAACTCCCAAATATAACAGCCCCCATAATTATTTTAAGAACCCCTGAACATCTTTGTAATAATCCTATCCTTATATATAATACGAGAAGGCGATTTCTACGAAACACTACTCCTCCGTTATTAATGGACGGATTTTTACAAACGATGTATCAAAATTAAGTATTTTTTGTGTAGATGCTCCCTTTCACCAATTCCTGTAATAAAAGTCCTCGGGCTTTGCGCCACATGTAATCAAAGTCCCAATGCATTTCTTATGAAGAACATGTTTAGTTTACTTACACAGACAAATAATTTCTATTAATTAGCCTACAGCTGTTCATACTAAGCACATGATACACACAAGAGCGTTCGTTTTTAGAGTGAGTTCATTTTTAGTTTCGATGACTGGAGTGGAGTGATTGATTACACTATCTATGAGTTGACTCTTTTAAGTCATCGGACATTATGACTGTTATTCGTTTTGAAATAACGCCTGTAATACTTTGCAATTGCTCGAATTCGAGCAACAGGTGCACTAGTATTAATTACTAGCAGAGTACCCGTCCTTCTTACGGGGTTGGCGTATAAGTAGGAAATGCTTATTGCATTTATACTCGTAAATAATATACCATTTCGTCAATTCGGTAAATTCCGAATAAGTAGGCCTAAATATAATAACAGTAAAAGCAAAGTTGGAGGGGTTAAATTAAAATTTATTGTTTACATTTTAAATTGACATGTTTGCTTTAATACTACAGTTAAAACTTCTGCGAAGGCCACGTACAGTTCCAAATCAAGTACTTTTTACTGCTTACGCTTCTTCGAAACTTTTGATACCAAAGTATACATTTCATTATCTAAATCATCGTATAACAGCATAGTAGCCACTAGTAATCTCTCCTGTGAACTTATGTTACGCACCAACCGCCTGTATAGTACGCAGTCTAGGAAACCAATCACGGCAGCTGCGTTTTGGGACCTGGATAAAAGCCGCAGCGCATCTATTACGCATCTAGGAAACCACAGCCTAAACTACAATTAACAATTTCTCTTTCACGCCAGTGTTATTTTTATAACTGAAGTAAAAGTTAGTTTGGTTTAAACGCTTTGTAGGAAAGCGATTTTGGATGTGTCGGAAATGGAACCCATCCCTCCTAAGCCGTGGTTTGAGACGCTAACAACACACCCAAATTAAAACTTAAGTAAAAAAAGTTGGTTTAACGTCACTGAATCTTTTAACTCCAAAAATAAATCAAACATTTGGGGGCCAAGACCTACGTCCCTCTGCTAGATCCTAAGCTCTAAAATTACACCTAAATCATAAAATTAGCTTTAGTTGGACGGGCGAAAAATGTATGTTACAAAAAGGACTCGTTTATAATATTAATTAATTATATGACAAAACATAGCATCAACGAATTACCAAATGTACCACACTATTGGTCAGATTATTGAGAGTAAACAGCAGATATGAGACTTACTTCAATACCATCAAGATATTCCACCGTTTGATTAATTGTGTTTTCAAATACATCCTCCTGAAAATAAACAATACAGAAATCAAAATAAAATGTATGTCAAATTCAATTAGTTAAACTGTATTAAACCATAATTACAGTTAAATACTATCTTAAAACTCCTTTTAGACTTTTATTTGACTTCATTGAGTTAATTGTGAATCTAATTTTACCGTGCAAAATATTACTAATAAAAACTGTACAAACAGACGTAGCCCTAAAGAGTTGTAGAACTTATGACAAAACTAATATAGGCCTAGTTTCAATACAGCCAGTGGCGTAGCCAGAATAGAATCCAAAAAAATCTACAGCAGAGCTTTGGGGGGGGGGGGAGGGGGGTCAACAGTTCCTTCAGCCATTAATTTGGTTATATTTCTTTGGTTTTATAAAATAATACATACATTATATGCTTACATTTACTAGATAAAATGTTGTAACTTCATAGGGTCCTGGGCTTCCTAACCAGCCCCCCTTCTCAGAGTCAATCTCATATAACATGGCAGTCCAGTCCAGCCAATACAGACACCCGATAATTGATTGAGATGTATAATACTCAGATGAATACAATATGTAATAATGAAACACTATTTGCTTTTATCAATAGGGAAAATATCTGATATCCCAAGGACGGTCATATTTTTGATTAATATAGGGTGACTTGCCCAGTGAATGACCGCTGCCTATCAATGACCGTTTCACTATAAATAATCTATAATAAGAGTTAAATTAATACAGTGAGTGAAAAAATAGTATAGAATACAGATATTACTCTATTCTTCATATTAAATCGTAGGTTGTTAATTATTTGTGTCTATTTTAATGATTTATCTTGGACATGTTTTGAATTTTCGTTTTTAGCTTCTGCCACTATAAGAACTCTACAGGCAAGGCATATTTCATTACCTTATTTTTGTGAAAAAAAAACTGTTGAAATGGTGATTTCTTTGGCTAGTATTTAATATTAAGAGTGTATATTAATCTAAAACTATCTGTTTTTAAACGTAAGCCAACAAATAAGTTTTTATTCGAGCGGTCATATAGTACTGGAACAGATTTCTCGGCTAGGGTTATTTACTGGGTTTAGACTCTAATTTACAATTATTTACCATCAAAATGCTCAGACATTAAGCAATATATTTATCGATATCAGGTTAAAATTATAATTCATTTTCTTTGTCCTAACCGGTGAATGGCCGGACTCTATCGAAGTCATGTACACTTATTTTTACTAGTAAACATTTGTCATTGAAATTGTTATTGATTGGTGTTTTATTCAGTCTAAAGTTACGATATACCCCGATCGAATATCCTCTCTGGCAAGTTAAGACGTTTTTCCATCAGCTAACTAGACCTGCCTAGATTTTTCTTTTACATTACATATAAAATGTGATATAGTTCTGATAATGTTTTTATACAGGGTTAGTAAAAAGTTTGGAGACCCCCTGTTATTTTTTTTAACGGCCCATACTAGAAAAACTAAACTCGGCACACCATTATGGCATGTTATGAAGTACTTTTTGGGCATAACCGCCACTTGGCGTTCATGCCCAAAATTTTGGGGGAAACTCAAAAATTTCAAATACAAAGACCCATCGAGTGACCCCTCATTTTGAAGGTCCTGGTAAAAGAAAACCAACAATGCAAACTAGAGGTCTCTATCTCAGTTCAGTAAAAAATGACAGCCAATAAACTTTGTTAACATTTTTAAACAATATAAATCCCCTTTTTTGTATATTACTGATTTTATAAGTGATTTTAAACCTTCCGAAGTCGGTCATTCACTGGCATAGGACTGGTCATTCACTGGCATGACATCGGTCATTTACTGGACTCAGGACTTTGATGTATAAAGAGGCAATTCTTACACACGTAATTGATCTTTTATGAACAATTTATGATATAGGGCAAACCCTTAAATAACAACCAAAAAGCAGGTATAATAATATATAGCATTAATATTCTCTGGAGAGCATTGTTAAGTTAACAAAAAAATTTCACCTTAACCGGTCATTCACTGGGCAAGTCACCCCACCAGATGTATATGCTACCTGAATCAATCTCTATAGGCTAATTATAATAAAAAATATCCTTCAGTATCATTTGATTCTGGCAGAACAACAAAATAAACAAAATACCCCCGCCGCAGCAAACCTGCCGTCTAAGCGAATTTCCATTTGGCTGAATTGATTTTCAATTGATCTATTTAAATAACATTAGGTTTAACGAGTACCTAGGTTTGCTGCTACAAGGAAACTAATAAAGTGTGTTTTTAGTAAAATATTGATAGCTTACTATAAAATAAATAAATTTGCCAAAGTTTGATCAAAATATATCAATAAACAAGCAAACTACAACATTTGACAATATTCTCCATAAGAATAACATGGGAATTTTAAATTTACCATTTTTTTAGTTTTCTACGTAACCAATAACCGTACAAAAACACTTTGATATACTGAATTGTTTGTTTTTTTAAGCTCTTTAAGAAGGTTTAGAGAAAAATTGGGAAATTTTGTGTTTTGAGGGTCAAAAGTGAGAAAAACCAATTTTTACCCCATAAAACCCCCCATAAAACCCTGTTCCCATGGTCCGATCATGCTGGATCACGAACTCATTCAAGTTTATCCCGCCTTACACCTTCAAACCAAATTTCATCAAAATCGGATAAAAATTACTCAAGTTATCGTGTTCACGGACACATATATCTTACTAATATTATAAATCTGAAAGTTTGTGAGTTTGTGTGTATGTTTGTGTGTGTGTTTGTGTGTGTGTGTGTTGCTCAATCACGCATAAACTACTGGACGGATTGGGCTGAAATTTGGCATGATGATAGCTCACATTCCCGATTAACATTAAAGCATATTCTTATCTCAAAAACCCTTTCGGGCTCCGCCCCAGTGGCCCTGTAGTTCCCCATGTTAATCTTATGATTTTTCATATTTAAAAGTAATTAACGAATCTTAACAGCTGTTTCAATTAAACAAGTTGGTTCTGTTCTATGATGTTCAATAGCATAAAAGTTACAAGGATTACCAACAGGGTGCAGCACTATTATTTTTTTTTTAATTTATGACAACAGCTAATTTTCAACCAAAAGGTGAGTGAGCGTAGCGAACGAACTTCAACCTGGAGGCGAGTTAGCGTAGCGAACTAGCTAACCTGAAGGCAAGTGAGCGCAGCGAGCGAGCTCCAACCTAAAGGTGAGTGAGCGTAGCAAACGAACTTCAACCAGGACGTGATTGAGCCATGCGAACGAGCTCACTTATGAAGTAAAACGGGGCAAAGCCCGCGGGTACAGCTATATATATATAAATCTATATATATATAAATCTATATATATATATACATATATAAAAATTTGAACGAATGGTGTTTTTGGCCTCTGGGGACATCAAAATGAAAAAGTAAATCGGTCCCGGGCCTAAGTCTTACCATGAGACCTACGGTAATAGCTACTTCCCTATAGGGAAATTCGCTAAAAAGGCACAGAGTGAGAGACAGTGGCGTAGCCAAGGGGGAGGTTTTGGGGGGTCATAACTCCCCCTCTTGACAAAAAGATTTTGCTCATAAAACCCATAAAAACTCCTGATACTGTATAAATGGACATTATTGTGATGATTAATTTGCTTTTCACAACTAAAAGACAATTACAGTAGTATTGATTGCACAATCATAATAAGTTGTCATTAACTCTTGGTTCAGTAATAAAAACTGTAACATTTAAAATCAAGCTAACTCAAAGTTTTACTCAAACCAGAACATTTCCAAAGACTGTACTGTACAGAAATGAATCGTGTAAAGAACAGAAAAATATATAGTTTAGTAACCTAGTCCTAGGCTTACTGCTAGTCATAGGCTTCTGCTACGTGCTGTTTTAGGACAGAAAAAGTAATTGTGATCTGTGACATAGCGCACAGCAAACAGACAGATGTGTAAGGAGCAGACAACTGACTGTCAGTGCAAAGCATACTAGCTAAATTGACCTTGAAGCTATCAGCCGATTCTTTGTTTTGTTATGCTTCCATTTTATTTTTGTCAAATAAACTTTGATGTTTCAAAAACAATAATGTGAGAACCTGGTAAAAAACTAGGTACCTAGTTAAATTAAATATACAATGCATTTCAAAACATTAGACTAAAGAAACACAATTTATAAAATGTTCTTGGTATTGGATAATGAGGTTATGTAACATAATTTTAGAAGTATTTATATTGACCACTCTGGTTAATCGAGGTTCTTAATAGACAATAATAGACAACGTACCTACTGAAAAAAAACTTGACCTCACTGCTATTTAGCTTATCTATAATATTAAAACGAAACAGTGTTTTTTTAATTTCACGATTCTGAATCAACCACTCGACGGATTTTCATGATTTTTGTGTTGAAAGAAAGATAATTTTGAGAACTAGGGAATGTCGAAGTCATAATTTTAGTTTAGGGTCCCAGTTTTTTAGAAATTAAGTTTTAATTTTTTTAAAGTCTAGCAGCCGACGCTAACATTCTAAACTAGCTTTTGGCATAAAATAATTTGCTTAACATAACAGCTGTAAACATTCAGCTTTTGTGTCACAAATTCAGCATTTGGATAATAATGGCATACATAGGGTTGACTTATTAATACTATATGTAATGCTATACTCATTGATCCGTTCATTTAATCGGTAAGAGGATGAAAGATTATTTAAATAAGCATGGTAAAATGCTGGATGTTCTAATTTATTTTTAGGGTAGTCTTAAAAATTTAAGTTTGTTTTAGTGCAATATATTTTGTTTTAACTAACAGCTGTTTGAATAAAAAAATATTCTATAGAACTATCAGGTTAGTTTATTATTCTGTGATTTTGCCATTGATTATAGGAAATAAATAGGATTCTATAACCACTGATGTATACAAATTGAGGCTCTGCCCCGGAGTCTTCAGAGAAAAGTTTATGCAAATTATTTTTCTGTTCAACCTTTTGAGGAGAGAATAGGAAGATAACAATGTGTACATGTTTTAATTATTCTTGACAGCTTTTTTTTACAATAAATGTTTAACCGCTTAAACTCTGCTTGAATTAGAAATGGAAATATTGACATAACTTCAGTTTTAGTTGACTACTTAATTCCCGTACGTAGGACGGGCCAACAGCTCGTTATGTTTAGTTCTCAAGTGGAACTGCGCAAATGAGGAATTAAAAAATCAAATACTAAAGGGTATACATAGCAAATCAACTACTGTGCTTACATTGTTATATCACATCTTACACTTGTTTTTTTATGGCCATTAGTTATTTTTCAAATGGCCCTAAACAAACCTTATTATTTCTGTTCTAAGGTTACGGCTGTGGCCCTCAAACCCCCCCCCCCCCTTCTCCAGATCAGCCATGTGAAACCCTCCCCTTGACATAATCCTGGCTACGCTACTGGTGAGAGATGACTGTATTATTTTGTTGTTTTGTTCTTATGTATTGTATTTGTCTTTTATGCATGTTTATATTTTATGTAATGATGAATTTGACACCATTCTTGTATATACAATATATACTAATAAATAAAGATGTTTTGAATTGAATTGAGTTTAATTTTTTTAGTTTGGAAAGTAGCATTATCGGACTTTGGCAACGGGGTTTTATACGGGAGTTTTATGAGATTAGTTTTTCCCATTTTTGACCTTCAAGCATACAATTTCACAATTTCTTTCCAAACCATGTTGCAGATTAAAAAAAAATTATATAGGTATATTAAAGCGTAGTTGTACACTTGATAGTTATGGAGACATGTTTAAGCATAAATAAACTGTATAGCATCAGTGTACTTGTTTGTGTATATTGTGTTCATTAAATTTCTCGAATTTATTTATTTCACACCAAGCTATTAACATTTCATAAATAACCACTCTGTATTAACTTCCCTGTAGCAGCAAACCATAGTACTTGTTAGCCTGAAGTTAATTAAATAGAGAAAATGACTTTTTAGGAAATGTTTGAGTAAAAATGCAATAGGGTAAATGTAAATTTATTTAGTCTCTAGAGCTTTGCTGGGATAGGGTTATGTTAAAAATAAATGTTTGCCATAGCTGTGGAGTTTCGAGTTAGTAGCATGTTTGATGCCCCCCAGAAATTTACCTTATTCCAGGGTGTTGATACCCTGGAATGTCCACACTATATTTCAAGGAAATTTATCAAAAAGGATGATTATTTTACTAAACAACATGTTTTATATAACACACACATATGCACACCCACAATAGGTATATAATGTAGCATATAAAATTTACCTCATCTAGAATATTAAGATTAAATTCATCTTCATTTTCCTCTTCATCAGCAAGTTTTTCCCTGAAACAAATAAAAATACTTTTTTGTATACACACAAATTTGTTCTAAGATACAAATATTTTGGTCACAATCTAAACTTGATTTATATTCATGATAGTTTTAAAATAACAAAGCTTTCTTTTTCCAGTTTTCTACCAAATTCCTATTCTAGAACTCCTTTTTATCAAACCAGGGGTTAAATCATATTTCATAGTAGACCTAGGTATTAAGAGAGGGGAAAAACTTAATATATCCAATACTATTGATGCTAAACGATAAAATTACAATTATTAGGAACAGAGTTTACGGATAAATAGCCAACTGACCTTATAACTTCTTGAAAACATTGCATATAATACATATAAAACAATAAAATTAATTTTTTACAACATAACACTTGACTTAACTTAGGAACAACTAAATATGGATAAGGATAAATTAAATACAAATTTTTCAAAAAAGTATTTTTGTTACCTTCTAGCTTTGACTATTGCTACAACATTCAACTTCAACATACAACTTCAGTATCTAATAGTCAATGCTTTTAGTAAGAATATAGCTAGGAATATCCCATAAAAGTTTTCTTTGCTTTGACTATAAACTAGGTGTACAATACATTTTTGTATGTTACAATATTGAGTGGCAGAAACATACTAATTCAATACTTTCGAAAACTTTCTGTCGTTCGCTTTCTGTCTGTAGCTCGCTCTGAGCAAGACAGGGATTGTCATCCTTAGGAAGAAACTGATTGAAACCATCTTTCCGCTACGAGTGGGGAAAGTAGTTGTCCAAACCAGTAGCTTGGTGTCATGGTGGAGGATTGGAACTGCAAGAACACGATCCTGAGTGCTGGAGCGTGGCCTAGAGGTGTGCTGGTCAGCAAATTCTTATTCCCAAGAAGAAAGTCTGGTGAAGATCACCCTTCCTAACAAAGTGAGGAGCATTTTTTAGGAGGAGCCTCAAGAACAGAAGCAGCAAGGTAGGCCTAGGCCAAGGTCCTGCTCATCACCAACCTCCTGTACATAATTTCAGTGTTTCTTATTTAAATATACAATGCCTTTGGACCAAATGGGATCTGTAGTTGTTTTGTTAATTAATGAATTAAAAAGCCCAGACATTATCTGTGTCAGTGAACACTGGTTGACACACCCGAAATCTCTAACAAACATAACTTTGGGTGATAACGTCTTGGTATCAGCCTATTGTAAAACTGTTAAGAATGGTGGAGTAGCCATCTTTGTAAATAGTAAATTTAAGTGTACAAATAAGTCTTTGGCGATAAAGGACGGGTGGCGGATATATCCGCTTATGGTTTTTGATGTTCCGGACGGGAATCGGATATATCCGCCTTCTCTTCAGGCAGACTGGCAGGTGCTTGAGAAGTAACCAGATGTTTCGTGGTACCAAGGCGCCACTTTCCTGCTCTCTCCATGGCTGCGCTCTCTCTCCCGCACTCCCCCCTCTCTCCTGCGTCACCCACTCACCCGCGCACCACCCACCTCTCCTACACTCCCCCTTCGACGATCCGTGCTCAAAACTACATTGTCTTTATTTATTGTTTAAATATTGTCCTTTATTTATTGCCTAAAGTTGTCATGGTCATATCTTCAAAGACGGGTGGCAGATATATCCGCATAATTAAAAACGAGTAAAAAATTATTTTGACAGTATGAAGTGTTCTATGTGTTTATTTTATGTATACTTGTAAAACAAAACACAAATAAGGAAAATTCATTTTTATTTTTTCCTATAATTTTTTCCCGTTCTATGTTACGATTTCGCCCGTCCGGGAAAGGTTAAAACAGCTTGACGTGTGTCTGGATTTTGTTTCCAAAGTGCACAAGCGTATTATCATTGGAGGGGGCTTAAATGTACATCTGAACCCCGGATCATCCGAAGAATTCAAACTGATTAATCTGCTGAGGTCATATGGCTTCTACCTGACAAATTTCCAACCCACGAGGGGGATTGCCTGTCACGACAGTACCGCTATAAACATCGACCCTGAGGACTGTGTGACTTCTGTGGAGGACCTGGTGGTGGCAGATCACTGTGCTGTGATGTTGCAAATTACTTCTACTCCTGTAAGTACATCACCTCAACCTATTTGGCATGACAAATACACATTTGCATACAGAGTAATTAACGATGATTCTCAGCTGCTCTTTTTAAATAGTTTAAGAAATATTTCCTGGGATCCAATAATGACAATATATAATGCAGATGATCTCTTTGATAATTTATTTGATAAGTTTTGCAGTGAATTTGAAAATTGCTTTCCTCTGAAAACCTGTCGGAAAAACTCAGGTCATCCCAATGTGAACAATAGCTCTAAAGTAAAGGCTCGGTTCGGCCCTACCTGCACTTAGGGACTGGTACTTCCCTCAACTTTATAAGCTCAGGGAGTTTGTAATCATCTTACATGATAGAGTAAAGCATTCCACTATGCCCGATCAAAGGCAGGTAAACTATAATGAGTATTTGCATATTAACCCTTTCCGCTCAAGCGGCGGGGGAGCCCCGCCGTGCGTCATGGCCGCACGAACTCTAATGTCGGGCCAGGCCCGCCGTCGCTATGACAACGTACTGTACTTTTATTTGGACATACGTAGTTATTTATTTCGCCGCTAGGGTTGATGTTTGACATCTGCTGCCATCTGGGGAATTTTTTCAGAACCGTTTGAACAAATATTCAATGCTCAATATTAAATCTTAGAGCTTATGTCAGTCGTCTTCACTCGTTAACTGAACTGCTGTCTGTAGCGGCAGCTGACTGACTGCACGGCAGCTGTTTACTAAATGTTGCTTGGTTTGTTTACTGCCGTATGTAGTTGGAGTGTTATTATCGAATTGCGTGCTTTACTTTTACTTTTTATTATTGTTTACATACAATCAGATATTTTCAGTTAGTTGTTTATTTTCGTGTTTGACTGAACTGTTATGATTTGAGTTAGTTAGTTCTTGTTACGTAAGCCCATAAAATGGATGAAGACGGCGATGATTCGTTGCTAAATCGCAAAATTGCTGATGGAACAAGTAATATAAGTGATTCTGATATAGCTGGTTTGTTATTTGAAGACGATTTATTATCAAATAGCAGTTCAGATCCAACCGATCCAGAATTAGACGACGACGAAAATAGTGATGAAGATGGTGATAATAATAGTGATCCCGATTTGCCGATTGAACATATTGATCCATTTTATCTTCAAGATGATGTTAACTTTGGGACATTAGATGACATACCTGGAATACATAATGTAAGTACCGATTTGCCTGTTGAACATAGGCCTATTGATGATCAATTTTTTCAACAAGATGATGTAAACTTTGGGACATTAGATGAAATACCGGGAATACATAATGTAAGTATCGGTGGGCCTACCGAATTACCTGTAATTACTGAACCAAGCTGTTCCAATATTTTGAGTCAATCAAAAAGACTAAAACTTGACAGACCGAGACCTAGCTCTATCCCAGTTTGTACTGAATCAGGACCTTCTTCACAATCAACCAAACTTACAACAGGTAGACATTTGCGTGGATCGAGAAAAACTAAAGTCTCAAAAACCAAAAAGAAGTCTAGTCTTAGCACACAGGGTAAAAAGGCTCGGCCTAGGCCTATCCAAACCAAGAACAAGCCTAATGAAGATCATAACTATAGGACTTACACAAATACTGACCAAGATTTCCCCCACTTCCCTTACACTTTGGAATCTGGCTACAAACCCCCAATAGGCTACAAACCTAATAGCCCATTACAGTTTTTTTCAATTGTTTATGACAGATGAACTTTTAGAAACTATTGTTACTGAGACAAATAAACATGCTAAGGTTGTCATTTCTAATAAGAGGCCTTTGCAAAAAAATTCAATCTGGCACTCGTGGACGGATGTAACGTTAGAGGAGATACGAGCATTCATCGGAGTGGTTCTAAACATGGGACTCAATACTAAACCCTTGCTGCAAGACTACTTTGCACAAGATTGGCTTTATAATCAGCCATTCTTTAGCCGTGTATTTTCAAGAACAAGATTTTTTCAAATATTTTGGACTTTACACTGTTCGAGTACTGGTGGTACCCAACCAGCCCGATCACGAGGGGACAAGCTAAAAAATATAATTGCTTACCTTCAGACTAAGTTTACAGAATACTTTGTCCCTCCATATGAGCTTTCTATGGATGAAAGTACAATTTCGTTCAAAGGAAAAGTGTACTTCAAACAATACAACCCCAAAAAACCAATTAAATGGGGTCTAAAGGTTTTTGTTGTATCTGATGCCAGGTCAGGATACATTTTCACGTTTGAGCCATACTATGGCTCAGCTACATCGCAGATATTACCTTACCCTGACCTGCAATTCACTACCAGAATTGTTTTGCTGTTGGCACTAAGAGTGAGGCAAGTATGTGGGCCAGATTGCGGTTTCCACATATATACTGACCGATTGTATACAAGTTTGTCATTAGCTCAAGAGTTGCTAAAGATGAAAATGCATCTCACTGGTACAGTTAATTCAAATCGTCAAGGTAATCCCAGTAATGTAAATAAGAAAAGGCTAAAGGGTCTTTTGAAGAAACATGAGACAGCAGCCTACCGTCACAAAGACAATGTCTTGGTGTTGGTGTGGCGGGACCAGAGACACGTAATTATGATGAGTTCGTATCATAACTCGGATATGCAATTAGTAAAAAGAAGAGAGAAGGGAAGAAAAGAAGATGAAATTGTGTCCAAACCAGTTGTTGTATGCGATTACAACGAGAGAATGGGAGGAGTCGACACTGCCGACCATTACATTTCGTCCTACATGTTTGTTCGGAAATCTAAAGTGTGGTGGAGAAAACTGGTTCTGGCTTATGGAAGTATGTGTCGTCAACAGCCTCCTGCTATACAACATGGACTTACAGAATAAGGGGAAAACTCCCATTGATTTGAAGAGATTTAGGGAAATGCTGATTACTGAACTTGTTTCTGGTGTACGTAACAAATCTTATTCACAGCGAGGTCGTCCTTCTTCAGCTGACCAAGAAGATAGGCTAGATAAAAAACCTCATTTTATTTATGCCAATGAAAAAAGCAACAGCAAGGACTGTGCTGTTTGCAGCAACAGGAAAGCTGGACAGAGAAGAGAAACAGTGTATTTCTGTGCTACATGTGCAAGAAAACCAGGCCTTCACCCAGGGCAGTGCTTTGAACGCTACCATACCCTGAAAAACTATAAGATGTAATGAGGTATGTCTAGTTCTTTGACAAAAACACTGTTTAAATTCTTATATAACTTGTGTTTATTTTATGTTATTATTATTTTAGGCCTATTCTTGCTTGTGATTGAAGCGGAGTAGCGTACAAGCGAGATAAAATATTTAGGCCTAGTTCTTGTTTTATTTATGTTTTTCAGCTAATACAGTTTTGAAGAAAAAATACTTTTTCTCTTTACATCATAAATATTTGGTTTCTAAGCAACAGCAAAATTAATATTGCCTAAAAAGATATTAGTCGCTACAAAAACTGATATTTTCACCAAAAACTTTTTTTTAGCAAAAATTCATATTTTTCAATATATTTTTTTTTCGCATAAAATTGTGTCTTTTAGCTATGTAAATCACTTCAATATATATATAAGGACATACACAATGTAAATAAAACATTTTTATACTCTTATTTCTATAAAAAAATTGTAAAAAATCTTGTTATTCCAATTTTTTTATTTTCTCCAAAAAAAATTTTTTTTTTATGAGTAATGTATAATAAATTTTTTAAATATATATACTGGTTTCTATATCCTAAATATGATCTTTGGTTCATACAGAATTAGGAAAAAAATTACCAGCATTCTACAAATAAAGACAGTATTTGTTTTTTTGGCAAATAAATGAAGTGTGCAAATTTGGCTAAAATTAAATGGAGCTGGTGAGTAAATGGGCCTCCCGTTAATCTGAGTGGAAAGGGTTAAGAGGTGTTACAGACGCATGGTCAAGAATGCCAAGAAGGCAGCAAACGAAAAGTTCATAAGGGAGTCGCCCAGCCAGTGCAAAGCAGCCTGGAGCAATGCCAACAAACTTTGTAGGAAACCTGTGGATTTTGCATGTGTGAGTAGCCCTGATGAAATTAACGACTACTTTGTGAGTGTGGTTGGTAATGCGAGTGAGCTAACTCCTGCAGATGGCCATCTTTCATTAGGTCTAAATCCCAATGTGACAATAAAAACCCGCTTGACAAGGTGGAAAAACGTTACTCCTGCTGAGGTAATATCACTTGTTGCTAACTTTCACTCCAAAGCAAGCAAATATGTATTTGATATCAGTGTAAACTTAATCAAAAATATGATTAAGGATTTTGTAGGTCCGCTGACTCATGTGATAAATTCTTGTCTTGATCAGGGTTGTTTTCCGGATAGGCTGAAGGTTGCCAGGGTTGTCCCTGTGTATAAAAAAGGAGACCGTGAACAGGCCAGCAGCTACCGCCCGATTGCAATTGTTCCTGCTATATCCAAAATTATCGAGAAAATAATGTATGATGACCAACTTGTTTAACATATTAATGAAAGTAGTTTGTTCTCAGATTCCCAACACGGCTTCAGGAAGGGCCGCTCCACTACCACTGCAGTGTTGCGACTGGTTGAAAAGATTACAAACTTTGAACTTTGAATTACAGCCTTTGAACATGAAAAACCCTTAGGCCTAGTTCTACTAGATCTGAACAAAGCGTTTGATGTAGTGTCACACGAAGTTCTTCAGGCGAAAATTGAAGCCTACGGAGTGGAAGGTACTGTGCTTGCTACATTTTCTTCTTACTTTAGTAATCAAAGACAGGTGGTTGCGATTGATGGAGCTCTTTTGGGAGAGCGCAGGGTGGAACACGGTGTCCCACAGGACTCGCTACTTGGACGTCTCCTGTTCCTGCTAATGGTGAAGAAATTTAGGTGTGGTGACGAGGCTCTCATGTATACGGACGATACTAACCTTGTATTCGGTGGAAGCTCGGTGACGGAAATTGAGGGAAAGATGGCCTTGGAGCTGACCTCCGTCGAGAAATGGTTTAAGACCAATAGACTTCAGCTAAATGTCAACAAGACCCAAACACTCATCTGCACCTTGGGTAGCAGATTGAACCTTGCGGTTGTCTGAATTCCGACCGCAAACATCGTACCTCAAGTAAAGCTTCTTGGATTTTTGATTGATAGACAGCTTAAACGGCAGAGCCATACGGAAGAGATGTCTAAAAAGCTCTCAAGGGTAGTATCTCTACTTTGCAAATTGAAGAACAGCCTGACTGAATCGTATCTCTTGACCATCTACTACGGCCTTTTCTACAGCAATTTGAGTTACAGCATACTTCTCTGGGGCCACTCCCCAAGCTGTGAGGCAGTGCTGAGGTTACAGAAGGCGGCCATCCGAGTCATCACATCTAGTGACTGGCGTGAAAACAGCAAACCCATCTTCAGGAGATTAGGCGTGCCTACAGTCCACTCGATGTATATCTTATCCTCATTAGTACATGACAAGAAGAACTTTTAAGCGAGTTCACAACCAGAGGAGATGTCCACTACCATGCTACACATAGCTCTATCAAGTTAGATATACCGAGAACACGCCTAACAAGCACACAACACCGTTTCCCCGCATGGCGTTGAAGCTGTTTAACAAGTTTTAGAAAACAATGAAAGACCAGCTTACTCAGTCGGCCTATTTCTCCATCAAGGATTTCCTTGAGGACAATCTAGTGAGTAACTGACTCAAACCCCTACTCCACCCGCCAAGTTTGTAAATAATATTATTTTGAAATATGACAAGAACATTTGGTTTAAAATTAAGAAAAACTAACACAGTTAATCCAGTAAACCTGGTCAAAAACAAAGAGATGGTATTAAGGTGTAAGTTGAACTGGGGGGACAAGATCTTCCGTACGGCGGACAAGGCTGCTAGGAGTGTTGCTGCTCTTAGTATGCTTATGGCCAATGTCGGTGGTCCTCGGTCCAGCAGTAGAAGACTCAAGATGTCTGCAGTCCAGTCTGTGCTTCTCTACAGCTCTGAGGTGTTAGAAGACACGCTTAACAAGGAAACGTACAGGTTGAGGCTTGCTTGAGTACATTGTCAGGCGGCACGCAAGGTCGCTTCCGCATAACCTACGGTGTCCGAACCGTCCGTTTTGGTGATTGCTGCAGTTATCCCTGTCAAACTCTTGGCAGCGGAGAGAAAGGCAATCTACCAGAGACGAGTCTACTTTGGGAAGGACGCTGCAAGAACGGAAGAGCGTTCCCGCACTTTTCAGATGTGGCAAGAAAGCTGGGAAAGGGAGACAAGAGGACGTTGGACTGCCAGACTCATCAGACAGGTCCAACCGTGGTTGGAATGGCAGCATAAATTAGTGAGGTTCACCAGTATCTCACACAGTTCTTGTCAGGTCACGGACTATTTTCAGTTGTACCTGCACTGAATCCACTTTCAGTTACAGGACGCGTATCCTTTGCATTGAATGTATTTAACTTAAGTTAGTGAGAATAAAATCTGGCAAATGGAAATAGGTTCACTTAGACTTCACGTTTGCTGCAATGGTACCTACTATACAGCAGCCTAGCCTATTAGTGGTACCTAACTTAGGCAACATCCTACATTGATCTTAAGTTACTTAACTTATTAAGTTAGGTCCAAAAAGTAAGTATGTCTACTATCCTAAGTTACATAATTAAGTTAGGTGGTCCTTCACTTTCTTAACAGTAGGCCTAGGCCTATTTCATAAAATAGGTATTCAAGGCATGTTTCTTAGGCTATTAACTTAAGAATATTGAAATTGTATCCTCTCACCCCTAGCCTGCATGCAAAATTCACACCCCCTTCCTACATTACCAGGGTTGGCTCATGAATAGGCTACAGTATGTACTGTTCGATGAAGAGAATTCTAAAGGTAAATTTGCTATTAGGAATGAGATACTAAGTTAATGGCCCTTTCATTTTCTAACTTAAACGATTGACTATTGGATGCCATCTTGATTATTATAGGCCAAGCTCTCTGTATTTAAGTAGCCTAATTTCGTACTAAACTAACTCGTATATGTAGATGTGGAACGTAACTTACAATTTAGTTTGTTGAGACACTTACCTCATTTCGGCGGCAGTCATTAGAAATACTTCAGTATTTTAACAAAAAAATACTGAAGTACGTCTAATAAAGATTATTGGGTCTCGATCAGCAACAGCAAACTTAAACTTAAGAAAATGAAAATAATGAATGCAATGAGGACGAGGACATGAGGAGAATGAATGATGAAATTGAAATGGCGATTGGCGAAGTCCAGTGTTTCCTTTCCACTTTCCACACGACCAAAAAATAATCCCGCTTACTGGGTCGAGAAATCCCGTTTCATCCCGCTTTTAAATTGTGAAAAATCCCGTTTTATCCCGAATGATTTTTTTTACAATACCTAGTATTATACTTGACGTATCATGTTTATAAAGTTGTTTAAACATCACTATTGTATTTTACTACACAGTATTTAATCAATTTGAGCTAGTTTTCTCTAAAACTAAGTAATCCCGTTTTATCCCGCTTTCCGTTTTAATCCCGCTCAAGGTCTAAAAATCCCGTTTTCGGGATAATAATCCCGCGAATGGAAAGAAACACTGTAGAGTGCCGACTGCTGAATTTTTATTTCAGGATTAGTGTTGCCTACAGTATTATTTAGAGGCTTCTGATTGGCTGAGGGAACATCATTACCGCAACGATACGGAAGATGCCAACGGCCTCGGTGGTGTAGTGAATAGAGGGCAGGGCTGATGATCCGAAAGACCCGGGTTCGAATCCCACCCGCAGCACTATTTTTTTGTATTGGATTTTTTCATTATCGACAAGTTTGCTTGGTTTGGTTAGGTATGACGGTTTAATTTTACAATTATAACATTGTGAAATTTAATTTGACCCATTTATAGTTTTATTTTATGAACCGAAATATTTTTTCGGTTAAACCTTCATTTGATTTTTCATTGTTAGCAAGTCTGGTTAGTTTGGTTAGGTTATGTTAGTTTAATTTTATAATAAAAAAAATTATAAAATAGGATTTGAGGCATTTATAATTTTATTTTATGAACAGAACTATTTTTTCGATTAATAAACCTTCATTAGATTTTTTCATTGTCAGCACGTTTGGTTGGTTTGGTTAGGTTATGACGGTTTAATTTCATAATAAAAAAATATAAAATAGAATTTGAGGCATTTCTAATATATTCTATGAACGAAAATAATTTTTCAATTACTAAACCTTCGTTATAGCATTGAGTATCAATGGTTATAGTCAATCAGAAGCCTCTAAATGACACTGTTGGCAAAATTAATCCTGAAAAAAAATTGTGCGTCCTGTCCGTCAGTCAAGTAAAGTACGAGATGGGAGGGAGTCGGAGTAGATTCAGTTCAGGTCACTTCACTTCACTTCAGGCTATCAGGCGTAGGCGTTCAGTTCAGTTAGATTAGATTTCTGATTTCATAGAAAATTAATATGAAACTCTAATAAGTTAAATTGGCTCATCGGAAGAAAATCAAAACTTAGTCTAGAAAATAAATTATTGCTGTATAAAACAATATTGAAACCAATATGGACATACGGAGGCTCTGTTTAATGAATTGGCGACCATACATAGTAGGTATTTTAAGCTAAGTCAAGTATGAATGGAGATGAGTGTAGGATGAGTGGCGCGATCTTGTTAGTGATAGTGATGGTGTTAAACTAAGGCCGACCGACATTCCTTAGACCATAGATAAAACGATAAAAATAAAACATACTTAGACACAGCTGTTAATTAATAGCCCATACAGCTAATGGCAACTAAGGGACCTACAGTTTATAGTGGAATCCGAACCACATTTTTTCCTTGGTATATACGAATAGCAAGTAGTTTTTTTGTTTGTTCGTTGAATCACTGATGAGTGGAACGAGGAACGAAACGATTCCATTCCGATTCAACACCCACATCCATGTTCGTTCTAATTCGAGGGTTGTGTTGGTGTTGTGCTGAGAATATTCTGAAATTCTGATCATGTTTTAGGTGCAAAAACAAATTGAAATTGAAAGTGTCAACTGTCAAGTCAAATTAGGCCTAAAAATCATAAGTACTAATTAGGTACTAATGATATTTTGTGCTCATTTAAAAAATGAACTCAAATAAAACCAATCTAAGATTAAGAACAATATTAGGGCATTTACAAAGTGACAGCCCTTCACTGTTTCAGAGACTTGTATCCTTTAATTAGATTAGTGTAGCCTAAGTAATATAATTAAGTTTCTTAACAGGGCCTAGCATAAATTAAAAATTATTGACCTCATTTAGTAGCCAAGTTCTTAAGTTGCACACAGGAGTCTTTGACACATGTCCAAGGGCGGTCCTAGACATATATTTTGGGCCTTGGGGGGAGGGGGGGGGTCTCTGGGGGGTATGGAATGGTATGGGTATTAGTGATGGGACAAACGACTGATTTCAACCATCCGATGGTTTTGCTTTCATCCGATAGTCTTCAGATGGATGATTCATCCGATGGTTTTGAGTGTAGTGGGGGTAGGGAGCGTCCGTGCTGCTACTGGAGACAGATAAAACTATCCAACTAGAGAACGAATGGATAAACCATCAGTTCGCGCGCCTGATCAGATAAGTTAGATAGTTTAGGTTATGTTGGCATTTGGCGGTCGCGGCGGTCCAGTTATTCAGCGCCATGTTTCGGAGGATTTATCCGTGCATGAACAAATAGATCATCAACAAATAGTAATTAATAATATGTGTTGCGTGATTAAAGAACTAACATGTATTGTTGGAAAATTACTTCCCTCTTCTGTTTTATTTGTATTCTAAATAAATACATTTATTTATTTTTCATTAGTTTAAAATTATTTAAAATAAATAATTAATGTTACCTTAAGGTTTGTTATTCACTATTAAGAAGATAATTCCCTTTTTTCTAAGTTGCTTGGTTATTTAATTTTAATCTTTTTTAATGTGACTAAATTATGACCACTCGGTATATTGGATATTTATTACTCACGTAATAATTTTACGCCAAAAAGGTAACAAGCTGTTTGTACAAATTAAAAAGTCTTCATAATTTAAACTACGTAATTAATAATATCTGCCCAAATGCATAATTTAAGTTACTGTTCTGAGCATGAGCAGATGATTGAATGATTCACCTGATAATGGATGAATAAATAACCCATTTAATATCCCTTTGTAGAAAAATAAGTTAAACAAATTAACTCATCGGGGGCAAATAAACAAATATTTATTTCACCATTAAATAAAGAACAGTTTCAGTTGTCAAATAACTAATTCGTAGTTTAAACTAACGAAAATGCCACACGGATAGTTTTACAATTGAATGAAAACGTGGAACGGGTGGTTTACAGACAGACTAGATAGTTGATTCGGCTGATTCGCATTATTCGCACACAAAAAAAACGTGCACTACCTCTTCTTTTGTTTGAAGTGTTTTCAATCTTGTTGAGTTTTTCGTTAAGATCGGATGGTAGGTAAGGTTTTAACAGACTCAAGTGATTTCTGGGCTTGAATCTTAGAAAAAGTTCTGCTGGCGTACTTCCAGTAATCGTGTGAGGTGTGTTACGATAAGTAAAAAGGAAACTGTCTATACGGTGCTGAAGGGTTCTACATTTGTTCGATTGGTCATCTTCAAGTAATTGACAAAGGAACGATCTCTTTGTGGTCTGCACGGCTCTTTCCGCCAAACCGTTGAAAGCGGGATGGTATGGTGGGGTGACAACATGAAGAACTCCATTGGCCCTTAAGAAATCGTTGAATTCCTGAGAGGTCAGTTGCGGGCCTCCGTCACTCACTAAGGTACAAGGCAACCCATAGGCTGAGAAACATGACCTAAGTTTTTCAATAGTCTTGCTAGAGGTGGTTGTCTTCATGTGGAAAACCTCCAGCCATTTGGAGTAGCTGTCAACCACAGTAAGGAAGTCCTTAGTGTCAAAGGTCGCAAAGTCAACATGGATCCTTTCCCAACAATGCTTCGTCCAAGACCATTGCTGTAGAGGTGTTAGGGAAGAGCTGTTCCGGGTAGTCTGACATATTTTACACGTTTTTACCACACCTTCCAGGTCACGGTCCAAATTAGGCCACCACACATAGCTTCGGGCAAGAGATTTCATGCGGGTTTCACCTGGGTGTTCCTTATGAAGAAGCATCATTATTTCTCAGGAACTCAGGAACTATCACCCTCCTTCCCCAAAGCAAACAGTCTCGGTCCACTGAGAGTTCCGATGATCTGGTGATATATGGCGTCAATTGTGCATCGTTAATGGAGTTTGGCCAACCATGCATTGTGAAGTCCAACACCTTAGATAGAATGGGATCATAACGAGTCGCAGTGCTGATTTCCTTGTAAGTGATCGGAAGTTCATCCGTGGCAGCAAAAAAATTTACTTCACCCTCGTCGTCATCACATGAATTATTACCACATGGAAGCCGTGAAAGCACATCCGCATTGGGTATCTCGGAGCCTTTTTTATACACCAAGTCGTAGTTGTATGTTGATAAAATAATAGCCCAACGTTGTACACGGGCGGCAGCCAGAGTTGGTATGTTCTTGGTCGGACCTAACAGGTACGTGAGTGGTCTATGATCTGTAACCATCAAGAAATGTCTACCATACAGGAATGTATGAAACTTCTTTACTGCGAAAACAAGTGCCAAGGCTTCACGTTCAATCTGAGGGTACCTCTGTTCTTGTGGAGATAAAGTCCTGGAAGCAAAAGCAACTGGCCGTTCCGAATTGTCAGGCAACCTGTGCGAAATAAAAGCTCCCACACCATATGGACTTGCGTCAGCAGTCACGACTAGGTCCAACTTAGGGTTAAATGGAATCAAAATTCTGTCACTTAAAAGCAATTCCTTACCTTTGACAAAGGCGTTTTCACAATCTTTGGACCAATGCCATTTTGTGTCCTTGTTTAGCAATTGATATAATGGGTGAAGTAAAGTTGACAAATTTGGTAAAAATCGTGAGTAATAATTTATAAGACCTAGGAAGGCTCGAAGTTGGGTTAGGTTCTCAGGCCTAGGTGTTTTAACGATAGCGCTTGTTAATTCTTCACTTGGGCGAATCGCATCTGCTTCTAGCCTATGGCCTAGAAAAATCAGGCTATGTTTAAAAAACTCACTCTTCGTAGCGTTTACTTTAACACCATACTTTTGGAGGCGAGTCAACACAGATTTGAGCGTACTATACATTTCCTCATCAGTCTTTGCTACCACCAATATGTCATCAAGGTAACAAAAAACCTTTGGAAGGTCGCCCAGGATTTTGTCCATTACTGATTGAAATATTGCTCCTGCACTGGTAATCCCAAACGGAAGCCTACTGTATCGGTACAGGCCCTTATGGGTGTTGATTGTCAAAAGTTCTTGAGAGCGCTGGCTAACTTGCAACTGATTGTAGGCTGCCGATAAGTCCAATTTAGAAAAGATTTTTGAGCCTGGTATACTAGCAAAAATATCCTCTGCTGTTGGCAATGGATAATAGTCGGTACGTAACCACCGGTTAAGGGTAACCTTAAAGTCTCCGCAGAGACGCACTTCATCATTTGATTTTGGGACCACCACCACAGGTGTACTCCAGTTGGTTTGTGTTACAGGATAAATAACATTATTACTTATCAATTTTTCAATTTCTTTTTCTAAAGCATCTCTAAGTGCATAAGGCACACTGCGAGCCTTACAGAAAACAGGCATCGCTTCATCTTTCAATACAAGTTCAACTTCAATGTCTTTAATAGTCCCAATCCCGGGTTCAAAAACATTTTGAAATTCTTTCTTCAGATCATTAATGATAGATAATACTGGAGACTTCTTACCGCTAACCAGTTGTACTGAGTCACTTTGTCTTCCGCTTGTTACGTTTTTCCAATCCAGCTGTAATTTACTCATAGAGTTACGACCCAGCAAAATAGGCTGGTTAGGAACTTCGCTGCGTGTCACCACCATAGGAAGTACATGATTTTCCCAGCGAGACGCAACTTTTGCCTGAAACTCGCCCACAACATGTATCTTTTGACCAGTATAAGTTTTCAGACGAACTTCGCTCCTGGAAAGGTTAGGTTTGTTAGATTTACCTTCAAATAATTGATCAAAATCATCTTCGGGCATGACCGAAACCACTGCCCCGGTATCAATTGTCATGCTCACAGGCACTTTGTTTATTAGCAACTTCGTTTTATAGCTATTAACCTGATCTACATTGTCTGAATACGCTATGTTGTATAACGAATACTCATTTTTACCATCTGGCTCATCATCCGGGGAGTCGTCATGACTATTATCCGACTCCTCATCACACATGTATACCCTACCGCTGGGCCTAGGCTTATACTTATTCACTGACCTACTCCTACACATTCTTGAAAGGTGACCCGTCTTTTTACAAGTAGTATGACAGCTATACTCTTTATAAGGACAACTGCTGAACCCATGTCCCTGTCCACAACATGTACATTGGCGCGAAGAATTTACATATGCAGGTCGTTGGCCTGTTTCATTATATCTAGGTCTATACAAGTTTTTAGGCTTACCATTGTTACTGCCACTTAACGTATTGACTTCACCAGAAGTCCAACCCCTGTGTTTTGTGGATGGAGGCTTTTAGCATTCCTGTTTGCGTCCTCCAACAATAAGGCAAGTTGAAGGGCTTTATCAAAGGTTAAAGAATCTCCCTCCGCCAGTAGCCTACTCTGTACATCACTAGATTTTATATCACACAAAAATTTATCCCTCAACGCATCATCCAAGAATGTTTTAAACTCACATGTGGACGCTAGGTTTTTCAATTGTATAGCAAATTCAGAGATGGACTCACCCTCTTGTTGAGTCCTGTTATTAAACATGAACCTTTCGTAAGTCACATTTTTCTTAGGAATGAAATGATCCCTCAAAGTTTTTATGATAACCTCATACGTTTTATCTGCCGGTTTATCCGGTAGTAGCAAGTTCTTTAACACTGAATATAGGTCAGGTCCCATAATAGACATAAATAAAGGGACTTTAGCATTATCTTTTATATCATTGGCTTTCATGAAAAATTCAAGCCTCTCAATATAATTTTCAAAAGGTTCCAAGTCCTTGTTAAATTCTTGAATTTTACCAATAACTTGTTTAGCAGCCATCTGACAGTAAGTCACTGAATAGAGATTACCTTATTACCGTGTCTTCATCTTTTACCCAATAAGGGATTGA